AAATTTTTTAACCAACCAAGTTTGTTCTACATATCTTAACCGTGGAAATCATTGAAGCAACTACAACTTGTTCATTCAAAAACAAAGGAAGCCAATATTTTTTTAACATTCTTCATGCCCATCTATCACCTCTTTTAATATGGCAACACTAATATTTGCGACTGCTGTAAATTTGTTTCTGTGGATGGGTATGATACTACAAAGTTCCCAATAATATTTTTTGAATTTTTTTTTTTCAAATGAGGGATATTATTTCTAAATTACTATTTTGCAGGAAATAAATTATATAGTGACGAATCCTCAGAGTAAATTCTATTTGTGTATTTTAAGAATATCGTATAGACAGTAAAACACTAACCAAAATTTGTCTAATCATCCCCACCAATAATAATGTGATGACACCACATCAAAATTTTGCGTACTAAATTTTATTTAAATTTTTTGAGATAATATACTCCAACACTTATAGTTTATGAATCCAACTTAATTTTTTTACTGCAGACTTTTACATTTTTGGAAAAAAAAATGTTTAACAATATTTTACAATTTAATTTCGAAACTGCAAAACCGAATGTTCTAAAATCTTGCAAACATTATAAGGTTATCCCAAGTATGATAAATCGTTAATCAATGATTAAAATATTTTTTAGAATTACTTAGCTAAGTACTCAATTACGACTGAAAAAATTATAAATGAAGCAATTTACTTATTTTATTGATCCAATCATGAACTCATTTTCTTGAAACTTTAGGAATACAATATTATTATTATTATTAGTAGTGCACCGCACCTAATACGTCATTGATGACGTCATCACAAAATTTATAATAATAAACAATAGATCAATTTTTTATTACAGGTCTCAACATCTCTGTATTGTTGTATAACCCACAGATGTTCGATAAAATAAATAATGTTCTTTAAATAGGGTCACAAAAAAAGTCTGCAGGAGTAAGATCACAAGATCTCAGGAGGCAGGTATTCTACGACCTAGTTTTAAAATTGTAAGAACCATATATTATTGTTTAAGAAGCATAAAATTATGATATTTTCAGAAGCAACACAAGCGGAAATGATGTGGTGAGAATATGGTTTCAACCAAGATAACATCCATGGGTTTTTTATGAATTGAAAACTTATTACAGTTTTACGCACTACATAATTTTTAATTACACATACACGGTTAGTCACGAGAGAATTATTTCTGGAAATTATTTTTACGCAACCCAAAATACTAATACCCCGTATCACTTGATACTATCTGAATTTAAAATGAAATGCTTAATCCATGATTGCTTTGACTTTGGCAGTGTTCGTTTGACGTTAGTTAATTTTTACATTTTTCTTCATCGTTTACTCCGCTCTGCAACCCCACTGGATCGACGTACCTCTCTCAATCTGCGCTCTTCTGAAGCCGTAAGTACTCTAGCAATATTTTTCCCCGCTAATGGGCATGTGTTAGTTCGCCATCTCTGCGTCAACTAGAGCCTCTTCGAAGTACAAATCTGTACCCTCTCTCCCTTTTCGAGCACCCATTTACAAAAACGCCGTAGCATCCCTCCAACATGCCAACATTTTCAACAGTTGTTGCAATAGTTAAATGATTTAATTACTCTTTCAAGTTTACGTTGTATCCTTTGAATAAAATATCGTAGACGTAATTTTTAGAAATAATTATCTCATAACTAGTCCGTATTATTGCAAAAGATCAAGAGGTACTCGAAGCAAGCCCTAACAAATTTATTAGCGGCGCCAGCGTAGTCTATCTCCGAGTGGCTACGGTATGACCATGGACACTCGTGTAACCTCCTTTCCGGAGTTGTCAAAATTACGCTGCCAAAAGTGCCAGAGTCAAAGCAATCATGGATTAGGACTTTCATTTTAAATTCAGTTAGTATCAAGTGGTACACGTTATTAGTATTTTGGGTTGCGTAAAAATAATTTTCAGAAATAATTTTCTCGTGACTAACCCTGTATAGATTTTATGATTTTAATACTAACACATATTTACTTCACACTATGCACACAATTTTTTAGCACATTGTTCGTAATATTAACAGTTTTTTCTGGAGCAAAATGTTTTGTAAAACTGCAAGCAAATATGCATCACACTATTTATAAATAAAGAAATCTAAGATTTCAAATTAAGTCGAAAAATTAAATAAATTAGGTGAAAATTATACAACTCTCAACCGTAACGTCATTTTGATAGTCTGGTCACTTCGGGTATCAATTTGTATTTTACTTATATAACAATGATTAACAAGTCCTTAGTTTAGTTAACAGTTATACATATACTTACAGAGTTTCAGCATATGTTAAAATGACAAGTATAAATTGAATATGGAAAACCTGCAAATGAGTTACAGTATATTTCGTTTATTTGTAGAAAAATTGTCAAGCAGTAAAATAAAATGTCATGTTGGAGCATAGCACAGCACACATAACACAGCGTATAAGTCCAAAATACTTGTAATTTTTTTTCCAAAATAATGTTTGTAACTGTAGAAGAAATGTAATTTTTATTGTTTTAATAGTTAGATAATTAAGTACATGACTAAAGATTCGTGTATAAAATAAAATAAAGTCGTCATTTAAATTCTTGAACTTTATTACGAGTATGTGTCTGATCTTGTGATCATTTTTAGTTGTTAATCGTTTTCAAAAGGAAAATAATTTTAAATTTTAAAATAAATACATACAGTATCACATTTCAAGCATTATTTCAAATTTTGGTTCTAAAAAGTTGAAAGGTGACGCCTGAATGTGTTTTGTTTTTAAATTCCGAAATATTTTATCTTTAAATATTCTTAGTTTTTCAAAATCCCTGTATTTTGTGTTACCTCTGACTATTCGAAATTAGTATCAAAGTAAATTTTAATGCAAAATTTACAAAATATATCCTCAATTTTCAATTCAAAAGTGCCAGATGTCCACGTGGAAGATGATCTAGAACTAGATGTTTCAACTACTTACTATTAAATTAAAACACAGAAAATCGTTCAATTAAAAGTTGCTGTTTTTGTTAATATTATAATATTGTGAATCATAAATTATTCTTATTTTATAGAAATTTCTGTTAATACGTCAAATGAGGTGAGAAGTTAATTACGGGAGACAAAGAGACAACAATAAAATTGAAACTTTTCGACTTGAATTAAAGAGAAAGTTCATCTTCATCTTGGAATAATATGCATTCGTGGACTGGTTTTTTTTTAGAATTTTTAGTCCTATAAATACTTTTAAATATACCAAAAAATGAAAAATTATTATCTATTGTATTCAAAGAAAAAATTTTTTAATGAAATATACACACCGCCAAAAACCGGTCACCTTGAAACGCTTCACAAAATCGCTTTAAAAATTGTTAATTTAATAATTAATGATTGCTATTTTATTTAAAGAACCCTTCACTGTTGACACAGAAGTTACAAATCAGTTAAAAAAAGACACAAATAAATACAATCACTAGTTAACATATAATTTTGAAGGAAATAAAAATATAGAGAAAATTTAGGTAACATTGCTGCGGTTTTAAAAGTTGCTTTCGCTACTTGAATTTTAATATGATTACTTCTTTTTGCTATGTGAACTATTAAAAGTAATGGAAATGGTGTGCGCATCAGCAATATCAGTAAATTTTTTCAAAGGAATAGACGTCCAGGTGTTACGACAGATTTTAATCTGGAACCAACTACTGCAAGCTGGTGCAGATAACATAAATTTAAAAATGCTCAAAATTGTACCACCTTACTGTAAAGCAGCCTTAGTACACATTATCAACCACTCTTTTATAACAAGTACGTTTCCTGATCACTGGAAATTATCTACGGTTAATCTTCTTCCCAAAAAACCAAATGCATCTTCATTAGTAGAACTTTGTCCGATTAGTATCCTCCCAATTTTGTTTAAAGTTATAGAAACAGAAGCCATAGTCAAGCATCGACTTTCTGATTATATAAAAAATTATTCTATAAGTCCATCCATACAAAAATGGATTGCTGCTGAACTTACAGAAGTGTGAAGGTAGTATAACTGGGTCAACCACAAATCGAAATGCTGTTCTACCCATCATCAACAAATTGATCAAGATTGACGACCATATCCTACAGCTCAAAATTTCATAAGCATGTTAATAGTGTTCTGGGTAAATGTTATGCCAAGTTTGGATATTTGTATCAATTTAAACAGTATCTCGATAGTAGTACTAAATGCAAACTATGTAATACCCTAATGCTTACAAATTTTGATTATTGTTCTCCAGTTTATGACGCTTGTTTTGGTTAAATTTAGTGACAGGACAATGTTAGTACTTACTAAATTAGTGTTTAATGTTTTCAAAATGTGTGAACCTATCCATTTAATAATGTTCTTTACCAAACGTCAATATAAAACTCATTTTACTCTAAGAATTAAAGAACCATATAAAATACGATACCACAACCATGAAAAATTTACGTGTTGCTTTGCTTATAGTTGTGTAAAAATTTTAAATGAATACGATTTTTTGTTTACATATACTTAGCACTAGGTTTAACTGTGTTAAGAACCTGATTGTACGAAAATCACTAGAGAAATACCGCGATATACATTAGAAAAACCTCATTGTCAACAATCAAATAGAAGTACCTACCAGGACAGATTTATGTTAAGCAATGAAATTTTAAGTGTTAGTCTAAATTATATAGTTAACAGGGAACGTTGAAAAACGCTTTGCGACTCGTTGCCCTTTTAGGTACTGTACCTACTCTGTACTTGTCTAATAAAAACGTGTTTATGTTTGAATTTAGACTTATGATTTTAACCGAATCACATTTTACAAAAATGAAAATTTAGATTTTAACATACACTGAGTTAACATAGATTAAAGAAGTATAATTAGCTGATTATCTAACAAAATTTTATTAATCCGGACAGGAACAGTTTCTTTGCTTTTGTTAAATGTATTGAGTGACGAGGAATTACATAAAAGTAATAACCGCAGTGCAACTGTAAAATATTTCTTTAAAATGCTTTATTTTTATTCTATTCCCTAAACTAATTACATTAAAATACATTCTTAGGTACTAAAACTAAGTATAAGTATAACTTATATATCACCTTCATTGTGTGACATTGGCGACGACATTACATCTTTTCAGTGTACAAATGGCATTTTTCCCATCCTGAGTACATGTGCACGTATTACAATCCTTCTTGAACGTTTGACCAGGCGTACAAGTAAATTCATCTAAAATTTAATTGCTTGAAGATCATACAAAATATTTTTCAAGTTATGCATGTTGTTAATAGCAAGCTTTAAATCTAAGTAAGTATTTTATGTAAAAGCACCTTATGATCAACTTTAAGCAACTACAAGTGAGTTATACTGATGGTTTTGTTTGTACCACCGGCATCAGTATCTGAAAAATTGCTAGAATTGCTATAAAAAGTCTGAGTATAATTAATATCGGTAATAACTAAAGGTTCATTTTCTGATTGGTTAGTACTATTACTAGCAAGTCCTGTGGAGTTAACATTTTCAATAACAAGAACTGTGGCATTTAAATTGACTGTTTGAATTTGTGGTACAGCCACATCGTCGATTGATGTGGCATTTCCTGCTTTCGCTGTTGACGTTGGCTGCGATGATGGAGATTCGGTAAATGAACAGATGTTCTCCGTGCAGAGGTACCCAGTCTTATCGATATTACAGTAGCAAGTATTGCAGTCAATTTTAAAGTAGTCGTTAGGAGCGCAGGGAGTGTTTTTTAGTTCAGAAGCCCCAGGCACACCTGTCAAAAAAACACTTGTAAAGAGCTGTTTCGGATTCAATACTTTACCAAGTATTTGTACTCTTACAAGTGTTTTTCAGATTAAGCTAAAAGCAAATGAAGATCTGTTAGGTTAAATCTTACAAATACTTAGTAAGTAAAACAGACAAAGTTAAGCAAGTCACTGACCTCTCTTTGCTCGCTGAGATGGAGGACATCTTCCTGAATTGCTAATACAGGACCATTTACCATTTATACATCTGCAGCTACTGCAACCCTCGTTCTTGTACTGACCAGAGATACATTGAGCTGAAAAGTAAAAAATATTAGGCTAGATGTGAAAAATTATAGGTAAATTTTATTTATTCATCTCAGTTTTCATAGATTTTTTCTGTTCTGATTTAATTTTTTTCACTGAATTTGTAAAATTGGTGAAATTGTATTTCATATCTAGGCTTTATGCCTGGTATTTCACGCTGTAATCATTTATAACTTCCATGTGGTTAAAATTTGAAGACTAATTTTTTATATAAATTGTAGTGTAAAAACATACTTGTAAGAGAACTTATTAGTGTAGTAAAATATGAAATAATCTGCTGTTACGATCAGGTTTCGTTCCATGTTAAGTGCTCTTTCATTTTCAGTTAACTGCAATAAAATGTTTATTATTTTTCTTTTCTAGTAGTTTCGAATAACAAAAAAATATTACAACAGCTTGTCCAGAACAAAATTCTACAATTCTACACTGAGATTTTTCTACGTAATTTTCTTCTGTTTTCAAATTTCAGTGTTTAAGAAATTTGCATAAATAAAAATATGGAACCACGCACTGTTTTTCCGATTTATAACCAATTTACAATGTCATTTTTCGTGTTAACGTTAACAGTGTTTGGTCATTTCCTAATTCCCTATACGAATATTGCTAATTTTTCGAAGGCTATGTTATTTGTTTGATTGTTTTTTACTTCCCAAGTGTAAGGCTACGAGCCATCCGGGAAATGGCTACTTTCATGTTTCCTCTACGTTTCATTACCCCTAGAATACCAAAAAATAGATCTCCAGTTTCCGTCTGGCTCTCTATCTGTCTAAATAAATTTAAATCGATTTTTTTGGAAGTCGTGAACTTAAGCTGTTGCAGCTGATCAGAAACAAACAAGTGATTTTTTTTTGTTGCAATCTGTCTGTCAGTTTTAATAAAATGTTACCCAAAATTTTTCAAGCCATTTTTCTTTTATTAATTGATATGTAATGAAGAGTGTCGCCGAAATAAGGAAAAAGAAGAAAAAAGTTACGTTCCAGGAGAAGGCACAATCCTTGTTAAAAAACAAAACCGATGATACGAGGATGCATTTTAAAGCTAGTACTGACAACATTTGCCATATGTTTAAATTTAGTGACATATACAGGGTGAGAGGATGACCACATACCAAAACTATTTTCAACTAAACAGAACTACGTAACACAGAAGTTAGTTTTATCAAATAGACTCTCCTATATATTTTTATATATTCTGATTGCTTTCTTCCTAGGTTTTATAACCATTGTTTATTTTTAAAATTCCGATGCGATGTTGTTCAAATTTTCTTGAAATTTTTTAGTAATGGAAGGTTCATAAAAAAATTGCACTATGGCTATTTTTAACATCTGGATTACAATATTTTGTGGAGAGATAAATGAAGATATGCGCTTTATTGTAGTATAAATAAAATTAGGTTTTAATATACAGTGTTTACAAAAAATGAAAATATAGAAAATTTCAAATATCGAATTGAAACTGAATGTCGATATTTGAAAACTTTAAAGTTTAATTTTGTTATAAACACTCGGTACACTAAAATTTTGTTTAATTGATACCATAACAGAGCGCATACCTTTGTTTATCATACGAATGTTAAGAGGGAAGTAGTTGTATTCTACAAATCGTTACACAACGACTTAATAACTATGAGATATTTATTCTTTAAAACACGCTTTTTTAGCTGAAATAATTTGGAATATCTAGATTTTTAACGATGTTAATTATTTAAAAATTGAAAACATTTTTGTATTTGAGACATACTTAACTACAACTAAAATAAATTCACTAAGTCAACAAAACATTTCAGACAATCATTTTAATTGAAAACAGTGGTTCATTGGAAAGTGTTTTTTGAAGTTTCGGTTAAATTAGCTTTAGAATCTCTCTGTTTGTTGGCGAATTTTTAGGCAAATATTCTCCGAAACTTTTTTTTGGTTTATTTTGAGTCTGTTATATAGATTTTTTCTGTTCATTTTCACCAAGAATCGCGTGATGTAAATGTAAAATTTTGCTTAGAATTTATATTGTGATTTCAAAACTTTTTTTGATTAGTATTCTTTAAATCTTGTCTACTTATTAAACTTGTGTAATGTTAAATTGCACTGCTATTAGAAATTAGTAGGTATAAAGTTGGTGTTAACTTCTGTGGTATTTTTCTTTGTATACATAATAATTTCATCTGTTTTTTTGTTGCAGTGGGTTGCTCAATGAAGATGAGGGGATTCGCTAAATTGTAGCACAAGAAGATGCCTTAGGATTAGAATTTTGCATTAATTTTAAATTGGATGTTAACTTTTTTTAACATTTTATTTATTTTTTATGAAGGCTAGTTTGTACAGTAATTTTGCCTTATTTTTATTTTATTCAAAACTGTTTTGACATCTTTTTGTTAAATATTTTGTAAGTATTTTATTTCATCATTTTATACACTCTTATCCTTTTGTGCGTAGATTTTTTTCAATTTTTTTCCCAAAAATAATAATAATCAAACTATATATTATTAATTGTTTGTAAACCAATTAATTTAGTGTTTGATTCTGTTCACAATCTATTTTAAACATTTCATTAAACTATATGTAAAATAAAATTCGACGGTTTTTTTTTTATCGGACGATGGAACGAGTGGCCGGTCAAATTGCCAGTATGGTGCAACAGGTTTGCTGCGTGTCAACAATACAGCCTTATTTTAACCTCTATTTTTAGAATGACATGTAGATATAAGATTTTTAAAATTTCGGTGTTCTATGTGATTTCTTTTCATGTATACAAAAATTGATAACGAAGTACCTACTGAATAATTAAGAATTTCTTTCAGACTAAATATTATCGATTTTTTTTTATTTTACTTCATCTACTGCTTCTTTAACACACGTTTTTCTTTTCTTTATTTAAACGCCAATCTGCTATACTGTGTCAAGATAATCTCGTTTTGGAATTAAATTTTAACACATTTTTCTATCTTTAATTAAAATTTTTATTTCATAAATAAGATAAATATATAATAATAAAAGATAATTCTTATTTATTGGTTAATAAGTTAACTGAAGGAATTTTATTATCTATTTTTTCCTCTCTCTTATTATTATTCTGTAGCTCTTTCGAAAACTTATAAAATTTAATTTTGTGAATTTTATTCTTTTATAAAATCCCTGTAAGTTAAAATAAAGATATGTATACAGTGAAAAAGTTAATGTAAAAAAAATGCTTCGTATATGTTTTAAATGAATTTTTCCATTACAAAAGTTTGTATTGATGCCATCAACACTTTTGCAGGGATACATATATCAATTTGGATAGATGCAGTGCAATACTAATAATAACAGTACTGTATTCCCAAAATTTCGAGACAGTGGAGAGAGCCGTTCTTGATTTAAGCAATAAAATAAATTGCCGGATTTAATTAATAATATCGTGTTAACCAAAATTTATCTAATCATCTCTATCGACAAATAAACTCTTTTTTTTCCTAATAAATCACTTTATAACATGACATACTCCTATATTTGTGTTTTATGAGTCTACCTTGAAACCTTGATTTTTATCACAATTACTTTACAAACATTTTTGTGCGCACAGCTGATGTTTGGGTTACGTGCATAACGACTGCTGGTGGACGTGCGGATTTCTTAGAGAACTTGGGTTCTGCTTTTTGCTTGCGTTAGATCGATCTCATCCTTGTCGATATATGTTTTTTTCTAGCACATTGAATTAGTTTGAATATTTGTCTTCAGGTGCGAGGAAGTCCTTACTAAATAACTTTTTAGACCATTTTTTTTATTATATTGTGGGTTAAGTTTTCTCATTATAAATTCTCGTTGGTTTCGTAGAAAACCATCGCTGTCATTAATTCACAAAAGTCTCATTTGATGAACTTGAAAATGAGAAAACAGTTCTCCCGATATGAATTAATAAATAATTAAAAGGATTTTGCAATTTTAGGAAGCAATAATCTAAATATCACTCTTCGTCTGTGTATTACATTCAAATATGGAAAATGGTCCCCACAATAAGTCTGAATATTTTGAGAAAAATTCTAAATAATGTAGTAGCTTACTGTGGCTGCCTTCAACTTACAAAATATATAGGCCATTGTTATGGAACTTCGCTGGTCTAGAAATTCAGAGTGAGTGGAAATACAGAAGTTTAGTGTTAGACAAGGTTATATAGAAAACTCATTGGAAAAACAAGTTGCAACTACTGAATGAATGAATACAAACCAATTTATCCAGTTGAGATAATTACAATAAGTCTTAACCTTTTCTTGGCAGTGAGAAGTGTCAAAAGTTAGTAACCACTTAAAAAAAAAACATATCGCACGATGAAAACAATCAATAAACAGAAACTAGGACTCCACTTTTAATGTAATTGCACTTTTTCGAACCAAACTGGTGTCATTCAAGGCACTTGGCCATAAAATTCAACTAGATTTTGTACGACCTAAAAAAAATCTAAACAGAACAGCCTATCACTTTTAAATCCCGCAGTTCGGAGCCTAAGCTAGAAAAGAACAGAAATAGGGTCCATGTGGTGAATAACGAGTATCATGTTTTCTCGGCGTTTCCTAGTACCTAGGATATGAAAAAGCAGTTCTCATTTGTAGTAGTGTCATTTGTCTGATGGCTAATGCCTGTCTGTGTTTCGTTAGACAGATACCTAATATCTACAACTGCTCGACTGATTGTTGTGGAATTTTAGACTAACTGATTGAATGCAGTGTAGGTGGTAAACCGCTAGACAAAATGTGTCTAATCGTTCTCACCAAAAGTTTGATGAAGTCGTCTCAAAATATTTCCGAGTAAAGCCTACTTAAAATATGCTAGATATGTGTAAAAAAACACCTTGATACTTGTAATGATTAATTTGTCCATATTTCAGCCTAATCCACGTAGATTTTTGGAGAAAAATTCTACAACAAAATTTTACAGTTATTAGAAACTACACAACTGATTACTTTAAAATTCTGTACCTACACATGTTGAGGTTATCGTGACACATGGTAAATCTCTAATCAGATTCATCTGTGCATAGTTTCTAAAAACGTGGTGATTAAAAATTTATTTAAATACTTTCGTTTCGTTTAGGATATACGTCATAAAATTATATAAATCCCATGATAGCTAGAGTTGACTATTGTAAGTGGTTTTTGAGTACATTTGACGACCGCTGGTTGGCGAAAACCTCTTTTCCAGACGATGTCAAATTCAAATTTTGATCACTAATTCAGTAAGTGCCATCTTCTCATTGGTTTTTACTGTTTTTAGGCACCCTGATGTCAAAATTGACAACTGTGAACTGACATGCTAACATTGCTGCCAATAATTCAGAACCTCCAATCCAAAAATTTGCTTCTATCATTAATGGTCACAGGGTATTTGATGGCACAGTGAAATTTTAAAACTATGTGATTGGACCGAAATTTTATGTGCTACAAGTGCAAGGTCGTGTAGTGTATGTTTACACATTTATTATTGTCTATAAATTAACAGGGCAATAAATAAAATAGAAAATGTAAAATATCGTTCCAGTTTAAATGCTATTGTTACCAGCGACGTAACAAATGTAGTTGTGTCAAACATGAAATATGTATTTTTGTTATCATGTAAAACAAATCAATATACAACGATTATTATGAACAGTTTCTACGAAAATTGTTTATCACAAAACGTTTAAATAGCGAATGTACTAACGAAGTAATTAATACTCAAATCGAGTTATTAGAGTAAAACCATATGGCCATCTGGTTTATAAAATATTTTGATTAATTATTTATTGTAATCTCGTTTAATGTAAAATAATATGTTGTTTATAATTTTTATTAGAAAATTGGTTAATATGTTCAAATTTTAAAAGAATGACATATATTCCTGATAAAATCAATATTGTCATATTCTGAAACACCCACAAAAAATAATAAATGTATAAATGTGAAACGTAGTAATCATGTAAAATGAAATGCTTCTAACTAAAACTGATTCTAAAACTTACGTCTTGGCGAACATATTTTCGTAGTGCAAACCCATTTCCCATTTACACAAGAACAGTTATTGCAGTCAATTTTTTTCGTTTGACCACTGGTGCATTCTAAAAATTGATATAAATACAGGTATTACTTCTTTATTCCGCCTAAAATTTGAATCATTGACGTAAGTATTATCAAAAATTTGTCATCGCTCAAATAAGAAGGACCTTGTGTAAAGTTAACGTAAAATTATTATTTATTTAAGATTCTGAATCAATGACTCTTTGTGTGGGTTATGAAGTCGTACACATGTCAGATAACCTTTTATCACAGATATGGAACACTTTGGTCGGTTTAAAGAAGAAAAGGCAACACCAAACAGTTCGAAGAATGGCTCGTTCAATAACAAATTTGTTTATTATTAGCGTCGACGATTTCAGTATTTGTTGTTAAAAGTTAATAAAAATAGAAAAAACAACTATCTAAAAATGAACGACGACGTCAAAACAAATTCGGCTAGAATTGCTTTAATCATATAATTTTAGCGATTTATTATAAATTCATACTGACAAATCGGAAAGTATTTAATAAACTCTTACCTTTATTTCTCGGAACAGCGTTAATTGTAAAAACACACACTAACAAAATCACAGCAAACAGATACACGTTCATTTTTAAAAGAATGTGATGCTGATGCAGTCAGTAATTCTCGAAAACTGATAGTGTTATAAAACTGCGACCTTTATATCAATGGCTTTATGAGTATAGGTCGTAACCCATCGGGAACGAATTTTATAAAAAATATTTTTTATTTCTTTCTTTTTGAGATTTCACACTAAATTGTATATTAATCAAAAGCATTTATTCTTAATAATCACTACATAAAGTTGTTTGTTATGGCGTTTTGAACCAAATGACTAATACTTCAAGAAATGTTGTATTCCAAAAAATATAAAAATGTGTGTCCGCGCTTTCAATACACAGAAATTTCAAGAATTTTGGATTTCCTTCATTAATTACTCTGTATGCACTTTAATTATTTTATTATTATAATGTGATTTATTTTAAGTTTGAAGAAAAGTTGTTTTGTTGTTTTATTCGAAATTATAATTATTTGAAATCTGTACATTATCGTTTTTTGTCATTGAGTTTCCTTGAATTTTATTTTTTCAGAAGTATGCTTGAAATAAGACTTACTAAATGATTTGGGAAACTTCAAGATGTTGTAAAAAATCCTACATATGTATATAATATAGTATAACATAATGACGTTAATTCGTTTTTGAAATATTTTGAGATAATTGATATATTGCTTTTTCAATGTCCTGTGTCTAAAAAAATACATAGTCAAAATGTAATGATTTTTTTCCAAAAATCTATATGCATAAATTTAAACATATGGGTGACGTAAGCTGATTGTTATTTATAAACCTTAAATGTGATTTAAGTTGTAAACTTTTGAATTGACGTCCTTAAAATTTTGATGAAGACGGTGGATAAATTTTAGTTAGCCATCCACCAAGCTAATAATAACCTCAAAACGTTTATCAAATTCTAGAATAATAGGGTTAAAAATAAGGTACGAGACAAAAAATTATCACGGTGCAGAATTTTTGCCTAAATGTATTAAAAGAAAGTGAAGACACCTGGTTGATTGAGCAATTCCATTTTTAATTAATTTAATAAAACATTTTCACAGAAAACACTAAACTGAACGAAATTTATTGAAAATATGTAATTTTGTTAACAGACTTATTGTGACAAATTATTATCACGCTTAAAACTAACTAGCTAAATGAAAACTAATTTAATACCCAATGTATTTTCCACCTGCTTCTATGAGATTGTAGACGCGTTGCTTCATAGAATTGACCAAATGGATGAAGTAGTTGACGTCCAAATTCTCCCAAGCCCCCAAGATACCATCTTTCGATTCATTAACTGTTGCGTACTGCTTCCCATCTTTATAAACCTCTCGTACAAGAGAACTCCATACATTCTCAATAGGGTTGAGATGTAGGCTTTTCGCAGGCTATTATAGCAAAGCTATATTTTGTTGTTGAAACCACGTTTTCGATGAATTAGATACATGAATCGACGCATTATTTTGCTGAAAAACCACTTTGCTGTCTTGAAATAGGTTCAAAGGTGGTTTGAGGTGCATTTCCAACACATCTTGGTAATTCAGAAAGTCCATTCGATTTGATTAATGCTAAGTTATTATTTCCTAAGCTACTAAAGGCACCCCAGACCATAACATTGCCACCTCCTTGAACTCGTTTTGACAAATACTTTGGTTCTTTCCGTAAATCGTGCCAATAATATCTAAAACCATCAGGACCATCAAGATTAACTTTCTTTTCATCTGAAAAAACTATCTGGAACCATTCTTCATTTTTCGTCCGCATTTCTCTGTCCCATTCACGACGTTTTTGAATATGTTCTTTTGTTAACATTTGTTGTTTCTTATATTTGGCATATTTAACATTTATGTCATTAGCCAGTACTCGCAAAACTGTTCTTTTGTGAACAGGTAGTCCTAGGGTCGTCTTTATCATTTGAGACGACATGTTATCCTTTATACCCGGAGTCACAATGGATCTTTTGGCACGTGCAGTGAGTTTTTCTTTTCTTCCACAATTTTGTCGTCCATTTTCACTGTATTTCTTTCTTACAAACTTGGAGATTGTGGTCCGATCTCTTCCAGTCTTTCATCCTATTTCCGCAAAAGTCAAACCTTGGTCATAGTATGCCTCAATCTGCCCTTTTTCACGTTCTGTTAAATCGTTTTCTTTGCCCATGGCGAAAGACAATTATTGTAGCTCAGCCAATTATATTTCGACACTTTATCAGTTCTAACAAACAATTGCATATAGTGCATATCATACAAATAAACAAGAATTACGCATACTACGTTTTTCTAATTGATTTTTATACAAAAAGTGATGCGTGATAATTTTTTGTCTCAAAATTTCTTGACACAATTGAGTTTTCACAGATCAGAAATTATTTGATGCAAAAATATCACTGAAAAAAGCATTTTTGTATACTAAATTAACTTCTACTGGGTGTATTATTTAGTCAAAGGTCTAGATAATAAAAAATTCTTGAAAAATTGCACCGTGATAATTTTTTGTCTCGTACCTTATGTGGGATAAACCACAATAGAAGACGCATCATATTTTGCATATTTTAGAGATGATTTATCGAGAAACATTTTGGGATTACGTCATAAAATTGTTGGGAATCTGAACAAACAAATTTTGGCTAGTGTATGCCTAAGATTCCAGAACAATCTGTCTAGTAGTTTTGTATATTACGTGCTTAATAAAATCTCCATCTCGAATAGACAGACCACAAACGTAAGAACAGATACTTGAAAACAGCACATCCGGTTTTCATATTCTAGGAGATACAGATGAAAATAGACCCGGTTACAAAATTTCCCCAAGGGAGTAGTAAAAAATATTTCTAAAGTATAAGAAATACTGTATTTTGCACCATACTTTTCAATAAAATTTATTGTAATAATTCTGTGAGATGACGTCAATAACTTTACGCGGGAGATAAAAAAATAAATTTTGGGATCTAAATATTCTGCAGTCCCTCTGAGATTTCTTCCCTTGTAAAATTGAGGAAGATATTGCATTTTTTATTAATTTTTTTATTTGTGCAGAGTTAAACGATTAGAGATTTCAAAAGAATTTTAATGAAAAATAATTTGAAATAACATTAGTTATTAATTTTGGTGGGGGTGAATAGATAAATCCTTGTTGACCTTTTATGATTCTCATGTTTATCTTAATGTACCTATTTCACATTTCTTAGTGAGTTTTGAAGACAATTCCTATAGCTGTATGTCGTAAATCATACTTTCTCTAAAAAATTCAGTGCTTGCGATAATGCTAGTGAATCATAAAAACTAAACTAATTATAAATCACTATTACTTACAAATTACACAAATTGTCTGATAGTTATGAAATAAATCAGAAGGTAAAGTCATGGATATCTTTTTAATGAGAACCACATTTAAAAACCTGACGAGTTAGCAGACTATGAAAGTGTCACAGTCTGGTGGTCAAATGGTACTAACTATACATATAGAGAGAGTAATGAAAAACACGATCAAAGGCAGCCATGGATTTTTGAAGCTTTGTCTTTAACATATAGAATTTTCTGGTCAGATTGCCGTTAATTTGAAACTTTGAGTTGAAAATGCAATGATCGCAGACAAACTTTAAAAAATCCGTGGCTGTCTTTGATTATGCTTTTTATTGGTTTCTCAGTAGAATTAGTAGATAAGAGTTACCTTCCAAATCCTTCTTTTAAGAAGGATTTGTTTATACTTTGCACATTTTAGATACTCTAGAAAATATGAACGGAATGATAAATCACAAGTATAGACTCATCATATTTTGATAGATAGGGTTTATGCGGCAAAATTTTGAGGTGACGTAATACATTTTTTGAGGGATTAGCAAATATCTTTTGATTAAAATTTTATCATACTTATAACAACTTTAAAACATCTGTAAGATTTCAGAGTATTCGATTTTGCAAATTCAAAACTAAACTGGAAAATTTTGTTATATAATTTTGATTTTTTCCCCAAAAATCTGCACCTTTCGTGTAAAAACTTGACGGATCCATAAACTACACGTGTAGGACTATGTTATTTGATACAATTTAAAACCCATTTACTATATACAATTTTTAGGTGACATCATATCCCATTGTTGGTGGGAATGATTAGCCAAAGTTTGGTTCATATTTTACCGCCTACATGATACAAAAATCAGTCCGGTAGTTTCGAAAAAAATTGACACAGACGGCGGACAGATAGACAAACTGATGGAAACGGGAGACTCATTTTTTCGTACTCTAGGGGTGATAACTCATCGAGAAATTATGAAAACACGCAGTCGCCCAATGGACTCGGTTACAATACTTCCTTAGCTTATGCTCAGAAAGTAAAAATACTGTTCGTTTGTTAAAAAACTCGTCTTAGACAAAAAATTTGTAAAAAAATATGCCGCCAAAAAATGTGCGTGCGCTATTCCTGAATGGTTTAAATATACTAAGGCAGAGAATTAAACCTAAAAAAAAAATTATGATTACTAGCTACTACTTTCAAGTCCAGGAACAAATACTTGTTATAGGTATAGGTCATAGGTTATAGGTTATTTTGTTGTATGGACACCCAAAGGAATAAGTACTAAAAAAATTGGTAAAGACGAAGAAATATGTAAAAAGATGGTTGCTAAGCTTGACAGATTTTACTTTGGGGCGTTAAACCTACCTTAGCGACTTTGCCAGAGGTTTTTTAAAATAAACAGAATTTGTTTGTATATTTTACTACATATGTAATTTAATAATTTATTCGGAGTACATTTTTTATCACGGAGACTTGCATAATGCATATTTTTATTATAAATACATTTTAAAAATAATAATCTCTCGGCAAATGAAAACATATACATACGAGTAATTTTTGTGAAACTATTTTTCGAATAAACAATGTAGGGAGAAGTTACTGGACGTAGGGCTTTTATAAAACACTTCCTTTCTGGGATAAGTAGTAGATACACTTAGCTGCTTATACGTTTTAAACAATAACTGTATTTTTTTATTATTATAAATATTTTTATTAGTTTTATTAATTAACAAAGCAAAATATGCATTAACAATTTAACAATGAACTTCTGGTAATCGTGTGGATTGAATTCTGGATTGAGTAGAGTACAAATATTATAATTTCCCCAGTTCTAATTCGGTTTTATGATTGTACTCCATTGTAAAAAAGTTGACTTCCTTAACAATAGAGTATTACTCTGTTCTACTATCGAATACATACCCATTTTTTTTCAATAATTGTTACCTAGTTTTTGTTAAAAACTCTGCATTAATTTTCCACTAATTCTCCTATTAAAATTATTCGACGTATGTTGCATTAATTTGTGGCACCTATATTTTGATTTTAATAAATACATTATTATTTAAATAAATTATACGACTAACAAATGGAGTATTTAATAACTCAGCGGTTTATAAAAAACTTTGCTTGTCAATGTGAGAAGTTTTGAGCGATTATATGATGAGGATGATGTCGATGACACAAAAATAACCAAAAGACAAGATACAAAGGTGCTTTTTTACGAATTTCTCAGCCATATTTATTTAGTTGATTGAGCTGGTCTCCGCGGTCTAGAAAATGAAAAAAGCTGCAGTTTGATGTATGACGCATCTATAATTCTATATCAATATCATTTTTTCATACAGATAATCTAAAAAATGTTATACCTCGTTTAGCGAGTCCCCTTAATATCCAGCAGGGCGGGAAATTTAAAGTAAAGAAAAAAAATTGAGAATTAAAAAAAAATAATTTTACGGAAACAACGGTTCTGAAAAAAAAATACAAATACCAAATTAACAAACTTTCACACGTCACATAATTACTCCGAAAAAGGACGCTCTAGGATAGTAACTGATAAATAATATAAATATCGAAATTTGTATTTATTGTACATATTATCAGAAAATTAACAGTTTGAAGATTAACATAATAATGATAATAATTAATACATATCAGTTTAATAGTAATACATAAGAGCATGTTCAAGAAAAAAGTGGTATGAAGTTATTTAGTCAGAACTTATTTCGCCCTTGAACGTTATTTATCCCTTCATTATTTGTTACAAACTTACAGCAACAACTAATAGTGTGGAGAGACAAATACTTTTTACCAGAATTCCACAAGTTTATTTCGTTGTGTGAGAAGGGCACTGAATGAAATTGTAAAGTTGACGAAGTGATAGTTAAACTTAATAATTAGATTTTTTTTCAAACGTCATATAATTGACACTTATATGACGTTGTTCTCCTTACTTTATTGACGGAAAAAAAACATCCTTAAACAGCACAAAGAAAAAATAAAATAAAATCACATGAGAATGTTACAATGTTATTAAAATAAGATTTGCCTTAACTTAGTTTGAAATGTAGGAAATGTATTTGTATTGAAATAAATTCTGCTATCAATAGAATTACAAGTAGATAATATATTATTAAGTGGTGAAAACAATAAATAATTCCTAAAACTGGATTTAATGTAGAACAAGGGAGCTTGTTACCGGGGTTTAAGTGCCATTTCTATGACAGCGTGTTTGAGCGGCACATAAGTACTAGTTACTTATACTCCGCCGGCGTATAAATAAAACATTTATACACCGCCGGAGTATAAATATGTGAAAATCATAGTGGTTGTCAACCATAGTAACCAAGGTAAGTGAAATCAAGGCAATTCCTTAATGAAGCAAGGAGATAGGAAATAATCATTTCAAAAGAAGATTAATCGTTTGAAAATAAAATGTTGTATTTCATTCGGAGTTTAACTGACTTTATGTGACTCGTATGCACTTAATTCGCACTCGCTATCGCTCGGCGTTTAATCGTCCATACTCCGTCACATAAAGTACCACTTAAACTCCTAATAAAATAAATATCTATTACTTTGAGACTTTATTGGCAGAAATTATTGAGATTCGAGGAGTAAAAGGAACCTACATTTGCGATGTTTTTTTTTTTTTTAATAAATAGAATTTGTTTCCAGATTTTACATTACTAATTTATTATATTGTTTATCAGTTATCACAAAGACTTGCACACTTTTACCATATTATATTTTTTCTTACGGTTTCATTATGACACCCGCGTACCTATTTGGAAATCATAACAGTTTCGACGTCATATGTTATTTGATCTGATACAATCCGTCGCTGTAAATCTCTTTATAAGTCTTATAAGGTGGATTTTGTAATAATTAGCTTAGTTAGAACAATATAATTTTTATTCTTCATTATATGAGTCTAAATTTTCTCTTCTCAGATCATTGAACATTAAGCTCGCAGTTGTTAGACGTATGGCTTTTACTAATAAACACTTCCTGTCTGGGATCAGTACCTAGGTAGTAATTTCAGCTGCTGTTACGTGTTAAACAATAGCTATGTAGTTTTTAAAATATTATTATTATAAATATTTTTATTACATATAGGGAAAGGGAAAAAATGTTATACCTCCTCTAGTGAATCCCCTTATAATACAAAATGATAGAATTCTTGATCCTCCAATAACTAAAAGTAATAATTAGAATTCTGATAACTGGTGGGTAGGCTAGGGAAATATTTTTAATTGATTTAATTCTTTGATTAAACATTACGCGTCTAAATTCAAACTTTTCAAAATAATATGTTTCTAATAAGAAGGTTGTTTGATTTCCTCATGAATGATGGGTTGCCTAGAGCACACGGGCAAAAACTACTTTCATTTTAAATTTGCTGTTCCAACATTTAATCAAACTTGAATCGTGGGTTTCCAGTTTGATTTTAACATCTTCAGTTTGGTGACTTTAACAAATTGTTTCATTGTGATGCTTAACGTTAGCCCCATCATTGTAAAATGAATCCCATGTCATTTAAAAAAATTCATGTTGATGTCCCTTGTGAAAGGAGTGGAATGTATCTTTCATACCACTATGAGTATTTTTAAAATGTTTAAAATTTGTTACCATTATAATTGATGCTTAAATGAATATTCCAATAATTAACAAAATAACATTAACATCACTAGAACTTCAAAATAAATTACTTATAGTCCTCTACACTGCCTATACTGCCTATTTGACATGATGATTTTCTAAAAGTTATATCAGTGATACTTATATCATTTACAACATAGGTACATTTTTATTTTACTTTGAAATGTAACAAATATGCAGGTTTTTTTTTAATCCTTGTATGTCCATCTTTGTTCCACAGACTTAGAAAATGTTGACATTTTAATACAAAACAAATATGTTATAGTAAATGTTTCGTTTACTATAATAAAAAAGGAGTAATTTTAAAAAAGTACTTTATTTTTAGAATATGCAAGATATTGAGTTAAAGTATGAATACAGTTAAGTTAATGAATAATAGGTACATGCAAAATTATTTTACCAAACAAGAAAAAGAGTTCTTTTATTAACTTTTAGTCTTTTTCCATGATGGTGTTTATATAAATTTTCGCCGACCGTACTTTGACTTCAAGAGGTTCATCTGCGTTGCAGCTGTCTACAGTCCTGCATGTATATCCTAGGGAATTTTCATTACATTTACAACGTGAACATTCAATGGCCAGTACATCAGAAGGAGCACAAGGAGTTTCACTTAAATCCTCTTCAAAGAAAGATAGATCTGAAACAATATAAATTCATTGCTCTCTCTTTGTTATCCCTTAATACTTGATGACCTGCGTCACTTAAAATTATAAATTCAAAATTAATATTACATATTTGAAAAACAAGGTCCATATTTTTTAGTTTTACAAACCACGGAGTTGCGTTTATTAACTTTAAAATATTGTTAATGTGCAAAAGTGGTGATTTTATAGGAGCAGCTCGTTCTTTGACCAGAACAAACTTATTTAAACGTCTGCTTTGAAGTAAAGATAGTTTTCAAACATCACGTATATGCAAAAATAGAAACAAATAAGTGGGGATGAATAATACAACTTTACTTCTAAAGTGAAATAGATTCACATCACGTTTTAATGTTGGATACACTAATTTTTACAAAATAATGTGTCTCGAAATCATGTCAAAAAAATTATATTTTATTTTTTCTATTATCAATAAGAAAATAGGTGTATAGAAAAATGCCGTACTACTTTTAGTAATTAGAATACTACTTGGAAACAAGTTTTAAAGATGAATGGGATTCCAAAAAAATATGTAGTGTACTCCATTTCAAAAAAAAAAACAAAGTTGTACGTTATAGTCACCACAAAGGCAAAAAATAAAAACCACACACTGAAACTAATGTCGCTTTAACAGATTAATATTTATGTGAAAAAAAAGAGTGAGCTCATATGGGGCACCCGTACGTATAATCGAAATAGATTACTCTAGTTTTTTTTCAGGACTAATGAGAGTTTGTGTGTAATATAATATAAATAATCAATTACTTGTGCAAATTAAATTTCTTATTTCTGTGTGTTACCTACCTTTGTATTAAAAAAAATTGCAAATTTTTGGCTCATATATTATCAAAGTTCATGTTGTGAAAAATAAATTTGGTGACAAATCTAAATTTTGTTTAAAAGCTATTGAGATTTTGTAAATATTTTGTAAATAAGTAGATACCTAAGTAATTTCGTCAACACCGTTCCTTCTGATATTTTAAAAAGTTTCTCTCATTATATTTTAATGATAATTTTGAGAATTTTTGGCAGTAAAAAATCCGTTTTATGGAAAACATAAGTAGCACTTACATTGGGTTTCTCCATGTTTAACATTACAGTGTTCTTCAGAACACTCCCAGAATCCATTACTGCAAACACATTCCTTGCAACCTTGCGTTGATTTCATACCATTGAATAAACAAAAAGAATCTAAAAAAAAGTTAAATTTATCTTGGTAATAGAATGGGAATGATAATTACCCAAAATCGAACGTTTTCTATGGGTGTGAACCTTGGATGTTTTACACTGCGATTCCATGCAGTACCATGTATTATTACGACACTGACAAAGGGTACATTGGTCAAATTTCATCTCTCTTTCCACGCAAACCATTTGGTCTACACTCTCAACAATGCCGTCTCGATTACAAGTATAGCGACTGCAGTTAACCAAATTACCCATATAGCATTTACAAAAATTACAATCAACTAAAACATGCTTTGGAGTACCCAGCGGACAGTCATGCCCATCATACAATGTTCCCGATCTCGCTCCACCTAAATACCTCCGTTTTTATTTTCCACAAAAAACGTTTAATATTGTTACATACCCACATAGTAAAATCCACAAATATAAAACACGAATACTAATATAATTAACAACTTCATTGTCACACAACTTTAAAACTCATTAACTGAAGAGCACACGAAAACGACTTCAAGAAAATTGAGGGTCGCCAATAAAACTCTGATAATTTTTTCAGGGGTTTTTTATTAAATAAAAAATATGGAAGGTTAAAACGTTTGATAAAAGCTTTTAATTAAATTTCACAGCAGTTGGGTTGAAGGGGCCACCAAAAGGCGAGCCCTCGGCGTTCCAGGACTTCTCTAAAATTCTGTGCATTGCTAATTCGTCTGAAGTGGGCAGACCTAACCTCTTTCTCTCTTGATTCCACTGCAACTCCTCAATTTTTGCTTGAGCTTCTTCTGGTAATTCCTCAAAAGGTCGTGTACAATCCAAAGTATTTATATCTAATTTTGGTTCTGTTTTCACTAAGCAATTCCACCACAGTTCTTTACACTTATCTAAATGAATATCGAGTTTGTTTTTCTGAAGAGACCAAATCGCATCATTGTGTTTACATTTATCACATAACTCTCCACTAAGCAAGACTACTCCATCTTTTAAACTAACTGATATTTGATCGGCTAGTATTTTCACTGTTAAGTCTTTAGATGTTTTGTTTTCGGGGACTTTGATAATTATATCGATTTCTTTTAATGATTGTGACCAACTATAATTATCATATGTGGCTCCATTATATGAATCAGCTGTAGTGAATTTGTCACTAACTTTACAAGGTTTCAGGGTTACTGTGGGTGTGGAAGGCTCTTTTAGTGGTTTGGCGGGTTCTTCCTTATTTTCGTCACATGATATTTTTTCAGCTGGTTTCCATTTGTAGAATATCTGTTTGACAGTTTGTTCAGCCAAACCTGGTGGTAAACCAACTGGGCAGTTTTGGTCTGTCGCAGTCTGATAGAAGTCAGTTCTGAAACAAATACATAATAATGAATAACGTTTCATTAGAAGCAGAATTTAACCACTTATCACAGTGAAAACAGCCTTTCTTTTATTGGGATCACAAATAACAACAGGTGAGGACGCTAATGCATTACCTACCTTCTATTTAAAAATCCAAAAATGCGGTTAAGAAATATTGGTAGTGTTTTACACTCTCTTAACATTGAGAAGAGGAGGTCATCGTGCTCCGCTGAATCGACCATTATACGTATTTAATAATGTAAAAATTAAAATATTTTACAGAAACTGTATAAAAACTTTGTTTATATGAGTGAAAATATCTACCTCTGACAGTTCGAATGAACTATTTTCAGCTGTCATGCAGGTTAATTGAATGTGAACTACCGCACATTAGAACTATCGGGAGTCACGGGATCTCTCGCCGAGATTATAAATCGTTATAAATATTCCAATATTATTACAAACATTAATAACTGCTTCCTCTCTACCACTAATATAATATGTTTATTATATTTACAACCTTCTGAATTTTCTATGTGCATATCTAAGGACGTTGAAAATAAATGACTTTATTTTCCATTTTTTTTTGTATGAGTAATTATTACTTAACTAATATTACTTTAAAAGTGTCACTACCTGTAAAACAAAAGAAAAGTTTAAAAAATCTATAGATAACTTTCTTTTTATATCAAAACCATCAAAAGTAGCCTTGCTTTAACGCTTTTTATTTGTTGAAAAATAGCTGTTCACACAATAGGTACTTCATTCAAAATTTATTGCATTAACTAGAATAGACAATGTTCCAATAATAAACTCTAATTTAAAATGTTTGCATTATATATGTAATTATAACTATTTTCGTTATTAAGAGATAAGTGTCGGATAAATTAGTTTTTGAACAAAATACGTATGTTTATATAAAAGTTTAAAGAAGCCTACAAATATATTTATTTGCTGTTAGCCTAATTCACTATACACCACATAATACTCACATCATGAACTTTCATAAAACAAAGAGTAAAATACCCAGTGCATTAAGAATAATTAATAAAATCTTTGGTCCGTCTGTTTTGTGCGCCCTTACTAAATATGCTACGAGTGTTTCATTATATCTTTATTAAAATACATTATGCATATTATGATATCCTTGATATCCTATGGCGAATTTTAATGTTGTTTATTGCTCTTTTTGAAACTTTGACACTCGTTCAGTTGTAGTCTAATATCAGAGTCATAAGAATTGAACAGATAAATGAAATTGAGGTTAAATAACACAGAAACACGTGGTAGAAGCGGAGTGAGCGGTTCTTAGTCGAGCTGACGGGATTTATCGCGTCATTGCATAAAAGATCCCGGTTAGAATAGAATTCAGGGGCGGTTGGGATGACGTAACGCTGTCGGCTTCTACCCCATAACTAAAGTGACCAGACGTCCCGTTTTGAACGGGACTGTCCCTTTATTGGACCACCTGTCCCGTTGTCCCCATATAATGATCTGGAACGCAAAATTGTCCCGTTTTCTAAAACCGCGCATCACCATCAATATTAAAGCAAATTTGTTCCTCCGAGAAATATAAATACGACTAAAAATATAATATTATGTTGCAATTTAATAATTACTGTCACATAAATGGTGCTTTACTTTAATGAAGCTGGTGATTGCTTCTTATTTTTCATAACTACTTATAATACTAAAAATATTTTTAATTTTTGTGAACATAAAATAAAGAAAGAAGATTAAAAAGTTGTGTTTATTTTTATTGTTTATTCCCACTGGGGTATGTTTTGTTATGTATGTATGGTATATCTATATTCTATATTAGATTTATTTTATTAGTAGTATGTATGGACGTCCCGTTTTGACTTAAAAAAAAATGGTCAGTTTACCCATAACCCAACTGCGAGTTTGCGACCGTAACGGCCTGCTCATACGGCTTGTCCGTATTAGAGAATTGCTGTGCGGCAGTGCTTGCGATAGATAGAATCATCGTGGGTAGGAGAACAGCCACGGCCAGGAGGCCCAAACTCCGCTCGTGCTACAACGCCCCCCTATAAGTATTTTTGTTGTGCTTTAGAATGAACTTGACATAGTTCGATCGCCACATTGTTATAGCGTTCTGGTGCCGCTGCCGCTGCATAGATTTTTATTAAAATTTTGTGCTTTTGTTGACTACTATAATTTAAATTTGCCGCCACACGTCTGTAATAACTTGTGTATTTGCATCCGGTTACTCTACTTCAGATATTTCAATTTTAAGGCCAGCTGTGTCAAAATGAAAGTTAAAATAGCTGCTCAATAATGGAGTCAAACAGTTGCACCTGCTATTGAAACATTCACTGATAAGGAACCGCGCTCTTTAGACGCAATAGATACTACAAATTTTGGTTCAAAAATTGATGATTTATTTGATTTACTAAATGGAAGCCAGCAGTACCTATGCTTCAGAGGGAAAAAAATGTTGCGTGTCCAGTGAATCTTTCTTCTCACCATGTCATTTTGGTCTGATCTTTTACCCAAAATTAGAGACTGGAAAATAACTGATTCTAAAACCGGTCAAGTTCGCACAAACTTCAAATTTGTTGAGGACCATTAGATCCACTACGTTTTTTTGGCAAAATTTAGAAAAGATGGGTTTGACCTGACCTGATCTGGCCTGTCACTACGGAACTTAATTTTTTTCTTTAATACATGAGGGTTCGCTCCATAGGTAATCTATTAATTAGCAAGGGATTCAATATAAAAGAGACGTAACGAGGTGATGGTTAGTTAAAGGGACTTATTCGTAACTAAAAGCTGGGAAAAGATTTTTCATGATTTTAGAGAGAACAGTAAATGACAATAAATGCAAACAATAAGCAAGGTCAAAAGAAGCGGGCAGAGTTAGGTGTACTTAACATAATATCATTATGTGAATAATGTAGAGCAAAGTTGTTGGGGCTTTCCTGGGTTGCGACGCATGATTTGGGGGACCCCGCGGAAAGTGGAATTAACTAACTACTGGTACTAAATAGGGTTTCTGGGGCTAGGGCAGAGGAATTCCCGGTCGCTGAATTGAACGTGTGAATGACGTTGTGGTGACCGAATTTATATCTAAAGTTTTCACGCTGAAATTAATTAACAGCGGCGCGAAATCACACTTGAATAATTTGAATTTGAAAAAGGAAAATAGAATTCAAATCATAAATCGTTAAACATAGGCAACCAAGTGCACGTTAACGCTTGCTGGATAGTCGGACAATTATTAGCGCTAATGGATTTTTAGTTAGAGAGTTGGTGCTCGTTGAAACTTTAACACTTGTTCGGTTGTTGTTAATATCAGAGTTATAAGAGATTGAACGTTTAAAAATGGAATTGAGGTAAATAACACAGAAAACGTGGCAGAAGCGAAGTGCGGTTCCTAGTCGGGCTGGCGAGATTTATCGTCTCACCTGTACAAGTCCACAGGTTTGGATAGATTCAGGGACGGCCGCCGATGTTGTAGTGCTCTCGACTTGGCCCAATAATACTCGAGATCTAACTGCGGGTCTGGCGGCCGTAATGGCCTAGTTTCGCACAGCATGATCATAATGGAGGTGTGAGTGCGGGTAGGCTTTGCGATAGATAGAGTCACCGTCGTGGGGGGAGAACAGCCCCAGACCGGTAGCCCAAAACTCCGCTTGTGCTAGCACGCCCCAGGGGTACTTTTGTTGTGCTCCTGTTAACTGCCGTAACTTTAAAATCTGCCGCCACATGCCCGTAATAACTTGTGTATTTGCATCCAGTTACTTTAATTCAGATTTTGCTTTGTTTTTATTAAATTTGTGATTTTCAAATATTTGCATTGATTCCAAACAGATGTATAGGATTTTGTGTTTGTTCGTTTTTCATATGTGTATGTCTGTCAATTCGCGAGTGTTTTTTCTTTCATATATCTTGAGGTGTTTGAAATGTAATATGTCCGGGAATATACGATAGGGGGTTTTTGGGGCCGAGGAGTGAATCCTCGCAGCTTCTTTCCTCCTGAGAAGGGTGCCGTGCTAGCCCTTCCAAAACAATTTTGTCTATTATTTCTTGCGCTCTCAACTCACACGCAGTATATACTCACTTGTATGAAAGAACCTTTTCAAAAAAAAAAATCACACAACGTAGGTTCCCATTTTGTTAGGCGATCACAGCCAAGGCCAAATTTTGAATATTTCGCGGCCTTTCAAACTCTGTCAGGGTCAATTTAAAGGCGGGAAGTTTGGGCTATCACAACGTAAAAACGTGGTAGTATCCTATATATACACTTTCTCAGTGCGGCACGCAAAATTTGGGTGCACCCCGGTTTTCTATAACCATTCGTATTGAAGTTAGTTCCTGGTGTTAGGAACGCATACCTTAATATGGTAGGGGAATGCCCCATCACTGAATTGAGTGTGTGGATGAGATAAAAACGTGGGCAGTGGCTAGTACGGCATGAGGACCCCGAATTCAATTGAAAAAAGAGAACTCAGTCAGGTGGTTATTGGATCTGTCGTAGTATTTCCATGTAATTTACCGGTTAAAGTAGAACATGGTGCACTGCACACGCATAATTAACTGGGCCAATGATGACTTACACGATAAGAGCCATTTGATGGAGCAGTGAGTCGATTGTCGGGGAAAGTTTGGGGAAAGAGTTTTTCTACTACATAACGACGGTGGATTTGGTGTAGGCGCTTGGAGCGGCTTCTACCTTGTAGCGGGAGCAAAAGCAAACTGGGCTCTAGACGGACCAACCAAACGGCTGATAAGCGGGACTAGACCTAAATATCTCGGTGGAGGGTAGAATACGGTGAAATCTGTGGCACCGACCTCTCTGATGCAACACCGTTTACGACTATGCACTCGAGTAAACACGCTCTTAGTTTCGAAAGTATCGCTAAGCAGTGGCGGAACAATTTACTTCCATCCCATGATTCACAAAGCTTCCAACTCACCATGTTGAGTTTATTAAAAAAATAAAAAAAAAAACACACATACACAACGTATACAGATACACCACGCAAGTTGAGGAATAAAATAACTGGCATCTACGCCTATGGAGTACCAGTAAAACGATAGGGTTTTCTAACCTGGTGGTATTACTTTGTTTATTGTAAAAATATCTTTCCAAAAACCTTTTTATATTTTGCTTGATGGGTGTAAATGGTACTTACCTCTGGCTCAACGGAAGGTATATAAATAAAATCATTGTTATCGGGGTAAATATAAAAAAACCCTAAAATTAAATTGAAACTTTATTGGGAGTTCTAAAAATGCATTTCAAAGTACTTGGAAAAGTATTTGTGTACCTCGTTTCTACATGGAGTTTCTTGCTGCAATAAGAGAATGTATACCCAACCTTTTCGCCGACTTCAGTCGAAATTGTAGGTTTTACACATAACAACAAAGTAAAAAAGTATAATATTGCTTCAGTTCTTACGTTAGGTATGTACTATTATAAAAAATAGTAGCGCTGTAATCACAGAAAAATCACCAATAGGTAGCTCAAGATTACAAAATAACATACACTTAACCTAGCTATGAAATGAGTGGCGGCTTGTGCGAATGTATCTAACAATATATAACAAAAAACAAATACTGTTTCTAATACCATACAAAAAAAATATCACAAAAAAAGTTACGATACAAATCGTTAACAAAAACAAAACTTCACTTTTATTAATCAACATTATTTTAGAAACATTATAAAGTTTAACAAGAAAATTTAACAATTGCGTTACAAAATTGCTTCTTTTTCTTTCCCTGCTAAAGCTTTTTTCAGAGCCTGTTTGAATGAACTTAAGGCCGATATTAGCGACAATTTCAACCCCTTACTAACAGGCAATAAAGGAAATTCGGGTTTCAGAGGCTCATCTTCACAGTATTTCATCAATCTTTCACACATTTTCTCGCCGTTACTTTGGAAATGCGCCAAAACCTCTATTTGGAAAATCTTCGGTGCGGCGTTTAACAACTCCGTCATCGATTGTACCAACTTCAAAATAACAAATTCGTTATAAGTGCGCGAATTCTCGTACCCTTGCTGTGTGTGAGTTTGCCTTTCATAGCCTGCTTCATTGTAGTAGGGTTCTGCCACTAGAATTAGCCCTTGAATGGAAACGATCAATTGTAGAAGCGTACTATTCGGACCCCACACCTCACTCCCTCGCCCCATCCACGTTCCTAATAGAGACACGCAAACTTTTCCCTCAACATACAAATTCGGATTAAGTGCTTCAGTTATGTAGCTAATGTAATGCACAGAGGGCGGGTTTCTGGGGTAATCTGTACTCAGTTGAATATCAAAAAGGAACAATCCATCTTCATACGGAGTCTTCGCGGGTCCCCTGATCATCACCGACAGCAGATCCATTCGATTGTCGTACGTTCTAACCCACACCCCCGGTGGCAGGGATTCCTTGAGCAATTTGTACTCTTTTTGCAGGGCGACCAAGAACTTCTGCAAGTCCTTGGCTTCGAATTTGCTCGAGAAGTATCGATGAGTGTCGGGCGCTTCTTCGAAGATACAAAATGCGTCGCTTGTCGCAATGGCATCGACCGTTTTGTTAAACTTCGGTGGTGGTGTCGTTTCTTCGGGTGTTAGTAGAGAGTTTTGTAAGGCGGCGGTGCTTGGCGATGGCTTAAGCGTGTTTTCTGACGCGTTCGTTAGGACGGTTAAGGCTTGGCGGCCGCCGATGCGGCTTATAATTTCAGCGTAAGCTAAGTCCAAGCGCATTTTGAGCATTACTAGGAGTTCTACGCAGAGATTCTCTTGGGATTTTTCGGCCGGTTCGGAGCTGTCGGGAGTTGGTGGACCTGGAGAGGAGAATCGAGTTAAAAATACACGAATAGCAAACAAATTGCAACATTTGCAGGATCCACATTTTATCTACAATCATAAATACATCACAGAAAATCTCAATTTTCAAGTGATCTATCTAAATCTGCCATCGCTGCGCACAAATAGGCGAACGTAAAAAATCAAAGGCATTTGGCCAAAAATGTTCGCCTAATCTTCCTCATTGCTGTGTCAGTTTAACATAAAGTATCCGTTTTACACCATGAAAAAATGTTAATTTGGCCAACCGAGATAAATGGGAGCATAAACTATTCCATGCTCCCAATTGTACATATCTGTACATGCGCGCGCAATCGACAAACCTAAATAAATGAACCACAATCAATTTCCTAGAGAAGAAGTAATAATTCGATAAAAAATCCCCTTCTGGTCATGGATAAGCAACAACTTCTCTACTTAAATGATCTACTTACAGGACTCCCCACTGCATTCTTTATTGCTTTCGATTTGAGCATTAACTTTACTCTCCAACTTTATCATTTTCTGAATATTTTCCTTTTCAGCATTTTTTAATTTATTCGATGCAGAAAGACTCTCCTTTGAAAATAATCTTCCTCTCAATTCTATTCCCATAGATTTTGCTTTTTTCTTAGTTTCAAGCAATAAAGCCTAAAAAAAAATAATTGTATCCCAAATACATCTTCGGCCAGAACCTACCTGAAAGTGCTTGCTTTCTAAGCTAAAAAACGACGTGCCGAGATACTTATCTAAATAACTAGAATTGTCATATACGCATAATAAATCTTTAAGAAACTGCAACCAAAAATATATTAACTTTCTAAATAATCCTGCAACGTTCCACTAACATGGAAATTTTTATTAATGTTGTGTTGTCTAAAGGCTTCTCTAAGATAACTAATCCTGCTCCTAATAAAATCCACCTTGGCGGCCATATTTTGAAGATTGATTTCGTCGGTGACGTCGCCGTCGAATGACTCAACGCTCTCAGTTTCCCATGAGTAAGCGTCTTCGCTTAGGTCGTCGTCGCTTTCGAAGCCGTCAGGGAAATCAAAGTCTTCGCTTTCTGGAATGAGTTCGATGTTATGAGGCCAACAGTGTTCTTTCGTACCGCCTAACCACTGGACGATTACATAACCCTAATAAAATATTATCATCGTAACAAATCGGGCGAACGGGTGAACTTACTTGTGGACAACTGTCAATTACTTTTCCCATTTTATCTTCTTGAGTAGGCTTTGCTTTAACTACACTACCTGGACGGAATACGTATTTAACGTGTTTTTTCAGATCGTAAACACTTAGCTCGTTTGTCGCAAGTTCTTCTGGTTTCTTACCCGGATCAGTTTGAGTGAACCATTTTATCTAAAATATTTACTGTAAAAAAACTCTGTTGCATAGTACTTTTCTAAAAAAATAATTATAATTTTTTTGGAAAAAGTTAAATCGACCGGGGTCGTTGTGAGACAGTCAATATTATGGTAGGAACGAAATTAACTGGTTTTCTAAATATGTTACGATGTTGACGTTTTTATGCAGTAGACACCCTACTGACTAGTATTAGATTACCTATTACAGCATTCGTGTAATGAGCGAAAAAATTCATGTTTAACTTTAATGCATATATTGGATGTTATACTTTGGAACATATTGAATCACACAAACGTGGAGCCCAGAAAAATCTAGATTGCGTAAATAAATAAATTTAAAGAGTACTTTTTAAGATTTAGTATTTGCATTAAAAACAAATTTGAAATGTTTGTACGATTATGTCAAAATTGCAAGGAGAAAAAGTGGATCCAAGATTATTTGGACAGAACTTCCTCCGTCTATGAACAAATGCAGTTTCTTCGAAAAATTATAATTTTTTTTATTGAAAGAATGCGACTATTAACCTCGTACCAAGCTGTCTCCTCAAAACAGAGGAAGCGAATAAAATTATAATATACGCTATAATGGAGCAAAAATTTAATTTGGGCAAATAGCTGTTGTGGTAATTCTTACTTTATTATTAAATATAGGCGGACGCAACATTGGTGTATTCTCAAATTTTCGAGAAAATGGGGTGAATCGTACTTGATTTGATAAATAAAAAAATATAGATGACATCCGCCACAGGGCAGAAGTTCGACAATCAGTCGTCTAAACCACTCATGCACGAGGTATAGTTTCCCCAGTTCTAAGTCGGTTTTATGATGTGTAAAAGTTAACTTGCTTTACAATAGATTACTACTGCCGCTGATGGGACAGTCCTAAATAAGGATTTGCCCATGCCGTTACCATTGTACTGTATAATGGTTAAATTTTTATTTATGACTGTCCCATCACCGGCAGTAGTAATCTATTGTTAAGGAAGTTAAATTTTATACAATAAAACCGAATTAGAACTGGGGAAACTATATTTGATGCATACACAAGATATTGGCTACATAAAACACGTCGAAAATATAGCACGAAAAAAAATGTTTGTGAAGTAAGTGTAACAAGGGGGATTCATAAACCATTAGTGTAGGAGTATATATATTATAAAACTTTAATTAATTACTTCGAGAACAATTAACGTTTATTTTTACATAGTTTAGTTCATAAGGAAAACTTTAGTTAACATTTTTTTTATATATTCTTTTCATCATTATATTCATTTCGTTCATTTATTTTATATCTGCATTTGTAGTTTCTTTTTTTTGTCATTTCCTGTAATTGGGTGCTTATGCCCGTGGGAAATCAATATATTATTATTATTATTTTACAAAATTTAGATGAGGGGACGTCATCAAATTGTTGGTGAGGACGATTGGACAAATTTTGGTTAGAGTTTTACCATCTTGGTAGATCCCAATACAATATTTCGGGAAGTAAAAATTAGGAACCTGACAAATTTGAATGACTAATAAAAAATGGTGTTCAAATACAGTACAAAACATTATTCTATTAAAAAAGCTACCTACAAATTTTAGCTACCAGAAAAATCTATATTTGGCCACAGAATTCCGCTTTATCAAAGAAATATGTGGCAATCAGGAGTTATCATATTCGCTAAAACTTAAGACAACTCCACTTTTCTAAAAAGCCACTACGTCTTGGTAGAAAATTTTCGTTAGTGAAAATATAAATTTCCTACGACTAGTAATCTTTAACGTTTAAAATTTTGCAGGAACAAAGTAATCTTAGTTATCTGTGAAAATCAACTTCATAAATCGGACGACTCGGCACTTTGGTAATGTTTTTTTTTTGTTTATGGCTGAAAATAAACGATGCATGATTTTCCAGCTTCGTAAATTCCATTGAAAATTTTAGTTTCCTCCTGTTCTAAACAACGCCGCTAAATCTGAATCAATTTGAAATAATAACAACATTTTTATAATACTGCAGGAAACATTAAATGTGCACAACACTAAAATATGTTTACGAAACACAATTCCATGATAATTTAACGTTTTATACCAAATATTTTCTTTAACTATTTAACTTTGTTTATTCCAGAACTGTATTTATTTTTATAATTACAATAGATCTATAATTCAAAGGAAATAAATACAAATGAAGTAAATAAAAACGATATAAAAATAGCAACCACTGTAATAAAATATAATCGTTTCAAAGCTCGAAATAAAAATACATTATACTAAGTCTACTTAGTGCTTCCCTATATAATCGGATATTGATGAGATAACTACTACGACTTGAAGTTATCACGATATAAAGATTAACATTAAGAAAATATATTTTTATAATGGATGACAAATAAATCGATAAAAATAGTCGTCAGGATAGGATTAAATGAACACGCTGTTCTTCTAGTTGTCTGTTGTAAATAACATGGAATGAAAAAGGTAGGTGGTAAGTAAATGTTGTAATAAAGTTCATCCGGCGAATAGCTACTTGCATGCTTTCTCGACATTTCATGACCCCTAGAGCCGTTTTCGTCTATCTGTCTGCTATCTGTGTCGATTTTATTGGGCAGGTAATCTCCGAAACAACTAAACCGACTGTGTCAAATTGTGTATGCATTTTAGGAACATCCTACAACCAGTAAAACGTTAACCAAAATTTGTCTAAGAATTTCCACTAACAATGTGATGACGCCACCTCAAAATTTTACACAGTAAATGTTACTTACTTTGTATAAAATAACATACTCCCTATACCTGGTGTTTATGAATCCGCTTTGCGTTTTTGTCCTCTTCCGAAAAAAATCCCAACTATATAACAACATTTTAAATCAGTATAAGCTGATAGCCGTATCGATTATAAACGCGAAGCATGCCAATTCGATTTCCTCATGCACTATTTTTTTCCTTGCACTACGAATGGTGATACTTTTTTCAAACTGTATAATTTTTCGAATAAGCTGAATTTTTTGGAGCGTTGTCTACGAGCGAGCGAGTTCTGTCTAAATAATAACCTCAGATCAATTTTTTTTTCGAAAAACAGGGAGTTCTAACATGCTACCTACCATTAAAGATACAATCTAACTGAATTCTGATGGCCATGAATATATTGATTTCGAAATCAATTACAGCCGATATAAATAAAATTTATTGTTGAAACACACTCCGTAAGCAAACCTAAATAATTGGTCCAAAGTAATTGGAACAAAACTTCCCTCGCCCCTCGATTTTTGAAATGGAAATAAATATATCCTCTGCAAATAAATTAAGTTTAGAATTGTTTTGAATAGATACCCAGGCATCATTTAGACTTTCTGTAAATAATTTTGTATTCTTAGCATGCTCTTCTCAAAATATTTTCGCTCTAGGAGTATGTCGTATAGGCCGTTTGCTTACGTCAGATCAAGGAATTGCACGGGGAATAGCAAGGCTCTTTCTATTCTAGTCGACTAGTTTGTTAGTTTTTTCTATTGTAGGTACTTATATATTTTTTGCAAATTATTTATGCACTTACATCGTCAACATATAACAGATTGGGTTACCAGAAACGGACTCAATTTAAGTCATTCTTCTTACGTATTCGCATATTCGCGTAACCTCAAAGTTGGTTAAAGTGCAAAAAGAGGCGTGGCTTATCTATTGTGGCACAGGAAATTGACGAAACTTGTTCAGAACTGTCAACACAAGTAAGCAACATGAAAATCTGTTAGTAACATTAATGCGATAAAAACAGAAAATACTGTCAAATACAGTCAAAACTATACATTTAAAAATTGCTTTAGGTACAACACGTATTAGAGTACGTAACGAAAAAATTACTGATTGGTAATAAATAAGTCCCAAAAATCATTAAATCGGTTTGACAGTTATGATTAGCTATATTTTCGGATTTTAAAAGATGTAAAAACCAAAAAAAAACAACATGAAAACATATTTTTTTCAAAGTGACCCTACCCTACGCAGTGCGGCTACCGCTCGGGAAGCAAAAGTTACCTCAGCTGTCCTTTCAAGAAAATTGACTTTCTGTACTACACCGTACTTGTCAGAACCGTCATTATTACTATTAGGCACAACCCATTCTCCTGGAAAAAACTCATGATCGTCCAAAGAGACCGAATAATACAATTCGGTCGTAGGGATATCCTTTTCTTCGGTACCGTCCTGCCACACGACCGTTGCTTTTGAATCCGTGCAAAGAACCTAAAACCCAACAATACCAACTATTTCAACTTTTCGACCGTTTACTCACTTCGACCGCCACTATCGAACCCGACGAGAATTTATTCAACTTCGGCGGGCAGTGTTTCTTACGGGGTTTGATCTTCGTCAACCTGTACGTCGAAATCTCCCCGTTGTTGTCAGATTCTTCGTCTTCTTCCGTGCACCAGTCGTCTTCAGCGTCGTACGGCTCCGCACAGGTGTTCATGAACGCTGTATTTTCCGTTCTAGGCACTTTGTCGGGTAAATGTTGGAGCGATTTTTTCTTGATCCATTCGCGTTTCTTTAGCAAAATGTCGGTGGGTTTTAATTTTAACAAGTGACGATCGCATATAACTAAATGTTCCGAATAAGGCAGGACTTTTAATCTTAAAAGGCAACAACGACACGTCCACAGGTTGGTTCAAAGAGTGAAGTTTTAGCTAGTTACCTTTTGATTTCATCTTCTTTCAGTTCTCCATATTCTGTGTGACCGTTTGACGTGCACCACCACACTTCTATCAGGCAGATTTCGATGCTTTGTATCGTGAACGTTTGACCAATCTCCATCTTTCGCTTCATCGCTTTCGATTTCTTTATCCATTTCGGGTCCTTCAGGTGCATTGGCGTGCAAATCTTTAACAAGGATAACATATTTACTGATTCGCTGAAAAATTTAGCTTTAACGTTTCGCCATTTTGATTTAAAAGTAGGACGAAAAATTTGAGCAAGAAATGAGTAATAAACAGTCAGTAACAGTAACAACAAGTTTATTACAGTGCTCTTGTGCATTATTATTCTGAAAAAATTGGCCTGTTATTGGACGCTCACCCTGAAGAACAAAATTCACTTTTTTAGAAAAAAAGATAAACAGAGAATGTCAGTCATAGTGTAAAGAAAAAAATGCTTATCAAACCTCTGAGCAATCAAGTATATCTGCACGTGCGTAAAAACTCACCGCGGATTCATAAACCACAAGTAGAGAAATGTTACTTTATAAAATTTTAACAGCTTTTTCGTAAAATTAAAAAATTTGATTATGCGAATTTTATTTTTTACACACATGTGCGCACGTTTCAAATCAGTTTTCCTTAACAAAATTTTGTGATGACGTTATCAACATCATATCTATCAATTTGGGTATATGCAATATAATACTAATGATAACAGTATTGTATTCCAAAATTTTCGGGAAAATGGAGTGAGCAATTATATATTTTTTGTTAGTCTTTCAATTCATTGGAATTAGAAAAATCAAACGTTAGAAGTTTTAATTACGCTTATTCAGTTTTTAAGTGATTGATATTATGTATATAAGTATGCGACTGTGTGTCATGTTTGAATTGTGTTTCTGCGAGTTTTAAGCAATAACAAATATGTATTTTCATTTACGTTACTAAACAGTAATAGTGTTATTTATGTTTACAAAATGTACTCGGAACATTTTTAATTAATGTTTTACTATATCTGTTTTGAAACTAAAAAATTGGTCTAAGAGTCTAGACTGAATCTGCTTTGCCCCTGAAGAACAGGCCAACAAAAAATACAGTTTTTTCAAAAAAATTGATTTTGCGAGTTTTATTTTTTTCATGATGCTAAGTTAAATAAATCGACAAAGGTTTATAAATCACAAGTTTAGTTTTTTTTTTTTAATTTAAATAACATTTAATGTGTACAATTTTTAGGTGACGTCATCAAATTGTTGGTGAGCACAATCAAATAAAACTTGATAACAATAAATCCAATAGTTTCTGAGATTATCTGTCTAATTAGTCGAGGCAAACGAAAGGCGATACACAAACAGACGAAACATTCGAGAAGTAGAAAAATATCAAAAAGTAGCGTTTTATGTTGTAAATATTTTAATTTTAGTCAGTGTTCAATTTATTTTGATTTAAATTGCATTTAAAATGCCGCAATATGCATTACGTTTTCGTAATTTGAAAAAAAAAAAAAAATGAAAAAAAAATGGTCCAAGGTTACTTCGACAGAACTTCCTTCGCTTTTGAAGTACAGTCCAACAAATTCCGCCTCTTTGAAAAATTAAAAAAAAAAAAATAGGATGACGTCATAAACATGGATAATACTAGTAACAGCACAAAAAAAAGGTAGTTACAGCCAGCGTATTACCAATGCAAGAAAAAGAAGTAAGGGCCAAGTTCAGCATCGAACCCACAACCGCAGTCACCCTTCTTCCCGAAAAAGTTATTGCGCCACGAGGACCAACACGGGATATAACGTCATTGTTTTTATGAAAATTTGAACGTTTAGCGAAAAAACTGAAAGCGGATTTGAATACTACAAGTACAGGAGTATATTTTTGTATAACATTCAAATCATTTTAAAATAGAATTCATTGAAATGACGTCATCAAATTGTTGGTGGGGATGGTCAGTCAAATTTACATGATATTTTTAATATACATTTAAAATTTGACAATAATCGGTCCAGCAGTTTCGGAGATTACGTGTCTAATAAAAATGGATACAGACACCAGACAGACAGACGGAAACGGGAGACTAGTTTTTTCGTACTGTTGGGGTAATGAAACGTCGAGAAAACATAAAAGCGGCCATTCGTCCGATGAACTCGATTACTATACTTCCTTAGTTTACGCCCAGAAAGTACAAAATTAAAAAAACACGCTTTTAACAGTAAATGTGACACACGACTTTTGTCACTACTGTCAAGAGTACGATTGCACTCAAATTTTGTGACATATCGCATATGCTGGATAGTACCAAATTATTGTGTTATAATCCAAATTACACACCCTTGCAAAGTTAATCGCTGCGAGAGTTAGAATAGGTTAAAATCGACTTCCTACAATTGTTTACATTTATAGTTTGTTACAAGTAAAGTTAATGTGAGCTTGTTAATTAAATGACTTAACTCCTGCAGATCCTACTTATCACAGTCTTTATAACAAAAAAATAAAATTCGCAAAGTCAAATTCTAGAATTTTTCGAAAAAGCTGGATGTGCTATAAACCTTACACCATTTTTGTACTATAACCTATATGTTCAAAATTAAAAATATGAAAATATTACTAAACTACAAATAAAAGAACATGTAGAATTAAGATATTATGTATCTATTTTATCGATTACCTCAGAAACGGCAAAATTCTTTGTTTTTACTTCCCAAGCGTAAGCTAAGGAAGTATAGTAATCCAGTCCATCGGATGAATTGCGACTTTTATGTTTTCTCTACATTTCATGACTCCTACAATCCTACAATACGAAAAAAGTAGTCTCCCGTTTCCGTCTGGCTGTCTATCTGTCTGGGCTCTGTATACACTTTTATTAGACACGTGATCTCCGAAACTGCTAGAGTGATTGTTGTCAAATTTTGAATTAGAACTATCGTGCAGATAGTTAAATGCTAACCAAAGTTTGGTTAGTCATCTCCACCAACAATCTGGTGGCGTGATTTCAATGAACCATATTTTAAAATGAATTGAATGTTACAGAAAAATATACTCCTACACTTGTAGTGTACGACTCCGTTTTCAATTTTTTCGCAAAACGTTCAAATTTTCGAAAAAACATTTGCAAGGTATAATAACGTTATATCACCAACACAGAATGTAGGTCTCCGTGGCTTTCTCGGAGAACCCGCGACGTTCAGTAATGGGTTCGATGTAGAACTTGGCTCTTTCCTTTTTTTTGCATTGGTAATGGCCTGTGGCTATTTTTTTGTGCTGTGAATAGTATTATCCATGTTGATGACGTCAGTTCAAAATTTTTATTGGTCAAATTAAGAACGACGAATTACCCCATTTTCTCGAAAATGTGAGAATACGCACATCTTTATATAAAAATGATAAAATACGAATTGTAATATTCATAACAATTTGTTCGCTTGTGGTTTAATAATTTTAGTCCTGTGTTTTGAGAAAACAAACTTATTCAAGTCAAACTAATTCTACGTGATATTCTTTCAATGTATAAACATAAATGAACACTTGAGCTTCAAATAGCTATTACCTAGTGCTGCAGGACATTGTATCCCGTTAGTTATGTGTTTTAAATGCGGGGGTGTTATTTATGCCAATGGTTGTTACTTTACAGAGGTTATCACAAAACGAAAATCGTAAAATTAAATTTTATAATTGTTTTAAAGAGTTGGATTTGATTTTATTGATCAAATTAAGAACCTCACTTCCTACAAAATGTGAGGATCCCACGTCTTTATTTAATTATGATGAAATGAGAATAATAACCATATTCAAGATATTTTGTTCCATTGTGGCTTAATTAATCATTTTAGTCCTGTTTTTAGGAGACAACTCATTCAAATCAAACAAATTTCTACGTGACATTCTTTCCATGTATAAACAATTAAACATAAACAATCGAGGTTAAACATGTACACTGATAACAGTACACTCTTTTCTGTTGGTTATTTGCTTTGAGCATATTTCATATTGTCCGTATGTCGGCGGACGGCATCCCCTTGGCATTTGCATCTTCGCGGCGCACGGCGTTCGAGGTGTCATTTAAACCACTGGTTTTTACTACATAAAGGTTATCAGAAAACAAAAATTTTGTATAATTTTTCAAAGCGGGATTTGTTGGACTGTACTTCAAGGGCGAGAGAAGTTCTGTCGAAGTAGCCTCGGACCAATTTTTTTGTAATCGACTCTGTCGACCCTAGAGTACGAAGGAATAGGTCTTCCGTTTCCGTCTGTCCATTTTATTAGACAGATAATCTCCGAAACTACTGAACCGATTGTTCCAATTTTTTTTAACAACAGAGATATAATTTATTAGCTCCTAGTAATTAGGTCCGGGCCTGTTAGACCTTACCAAATGATAATAATAATTTCCATCTACCTATTGTCGTCTAGCTACAGATTATGACTCTTGGCTCAATGCGGGGCGTCGAATATCGAGCTGGGCTGTCGAAGGACGCACTGTGCTAATATCCAAAAGTGGAGATTTGTCAGATCCCAAGAACTATAGGCCGATCACATGCCTCAACACCTGCTACAAGCTCTTCACTAGGATCTTGTACGCCAGGTTGGAGATGTTAATCAGACCGGTATTAAATAAGATCAGCGGGCAGCGTGGGGTAAGGAGGAACGTGGAGGGTTGCCGAGAGAACGTGGTAATAGACAATGTTGTCACCAGGGACTCCATTCACTACAAGCGCAATCTTTCCATGGCCTGGATAGATTACCGTAAGGCGTTTGATTCGACATCGCATGAGTTATTGTTACACTTGCTCAGTTGTCTTGCAGTACCTGTCCCATTAGTGAGATGCACAAAAGATCTGTTGCCGCTTTGGCGTACCCGCTTCACCATAACATCCGGTACGTGACGGGTCACTACGGAGTTGGTAACGCTCAGAAGGGGGGTTTTTCAGGGTGATTCCCTAAGTCCCCTTTTGTTCTGCATCTCACTGCTGCCGCTCTCCATTGCCTTAAAGCGGATCCATGGATATATGTGTGGACCACCAAGTGATCGAAGGCATCAGATCACCCATTTGTCTTATCTGGATGATCTAAAATTGTACTTCTCCGGAGAGAAAGATCTCAAACAATCTCTCAAAGTGGTCCAGGAGTATACGCAGGACGTTGGCATGGAGTTAGGAGCTGACAAGTGCGTAGTGTTCCATTTGAGGAGAGAACATGATGATGGAAGCATCTTCAGACATCTGGATGCCGAAGAGACATACAAATATCTTGGGATAGAACAACAGCGTGCACATGACGCTCCCAAGGTTAAAGCAACTCTTCGCGGAAAGTATAGGAACCTGCTTCGGAAGATTTGATCTTCCGAACCAACGGGAGAAAACAAGGTGTCAGCCACCAATATGCCTGCCGTTCCAGTCCTGCTCTACTCCTTTGGAGTAGTGAAGTGGACAGTTGATGAGTTGCGCAAGATCGACAGAGACACCCGAAAGATGATGCACATGCAACGTCCGTTCCCCGTTTGTATTTCTCACGACATCGAGGAAGCAGGGACTTCTTAGTTTGGAGTGCATGCATCGCAGAGTGGTCCTGGGATTAGCATTGAAGATCCTTAAGAGCTCAGATCTCCTCCTGCGAATGGTAAAAGGCCACGAGAACGCGGATGCGGGCGCGTTTATTTTTAAGGCGGCAACCAAGGCCGCTGAAGAACTTGGTCTCAATTTTGAAGTTAGGAAGTCGGGCCGGCGACGAGGAGACAACTTTGAGTTGGCAAGCGACTTGCAGCCCGACCACCTAAGAGCCTAAATAAAGGCTGCTGAACAGAATATGTTGTTCAGGCAGCATGTTGATAAACCTATGCAGGGTATGTTCTACCAGAACATCGAGAAAAAAAATTGCCAAAAAATCTTATTTCACTCTGAATATTATTTTATAAGCTTGCGAATTCAATATTTTGATTCAGATTATATCTCTATTAATAATTTTTATTACGACGAAACGAATTCGTTTCCAATTGATTTTATCATTAAATTCAAATGAACGAGATTGTGTATTGTTTGGAGAATATAAACAAAGAAAATTTATGTTATGTTGCGAGTTTTATTTTCGGAGTGATATTTATCTTTTATGGCGCAATTTCAAATTTAGGTTAAAATTGGTTAGCCTATTGTTTCGCGATTGTTTCACCTAAGGCTCTAACACTGACTTTTTTCTTGTTTATTTTTGCTAATCATTCAAATAAATTGCCATTAGCTATCCCATCTACCACTTAGTTAAAAAAGAATAGTATAATAATGTACGATTACATGATTTACAAATTTTAAGATTTTAAACGGCATAAATATATAAACAATTATAAACAACGAGTATTACTAAGGGTAAACAAAATTCCATCTTGAAATTTATTTAATATACATATTTTTGCCACAGCTAGGTTAAATACTTTCTAAATTAAATTGTAAAATGTTGCAAAATTCTTATTTTTCCGAAAGGCCTACATACGTAAGTTTACAAATACAGGTGAGTTAATAAATCACATGTATGGAAGCATATTATTTTGAATAATTTAAATACGATTTACTTAACAGAAGTTTGAGATGACGTCATACATTTTTTATGGAAGTGGTCAGACAAATTTTGGTAAGGGTTTTCCTTTTCCCATCTACACGATATTATGAAAACACATCTGAAGGTTCATAGCAATCAGTCCTGGAGTTTCGAGGATTATCTGCTTAATAAAACTGCCAACAGACGACAAGGCTGATGGAATCGGCAGACCTACATTATTATATTACGGGAGCTATGACATTTCGAGAAAACATGAATCTACTCTTCTCGCTTGAGAAACAAAGATGTAGAATAAATGGTCTTGTGTTAAAATGAACACGACAATGTCAAGAGACAGCAAGAAGAGCGACACAAAGTTTAAGAAATATTTATTTAAGAAGAGTAATTCATGGTGCAATGTATGTACCTTTATTATAAAAACAAACGTTTCAAAAACATGCAACGCGAAGAAGTTAATTATTATTGTTACAAATTTTGTGTTTAAAGCGGCAGCATGTAGCAGTTTTTAAAATTTTAAAAATTTCATTTCGTAGCGAAAATATTTAAATTATTATCATAGTTTTAGTAAACAAGTACTAGGAACGGCTGTATGCACATAAGCATTCGCAAATTCATGCAATAATAAATGTTGTTATATTTATTTATATGACACACATTTTACAAAATCTTATCTAAAAATGCGGTTTTCAGCCGTGACTAACTTCTTTATTTACTAAACGTCTACTTTCTCTGGAATTTTGCTAAAATTATGCAAAGTCTACCATCAGTTTAGATCGCAGCTAAGGCGAGGGGTAAGGGCACTACAGGTACCAGTGTAACGAGATATAACCTTGGGCCAAAGTTGACGACCTCCCTTTAGCCGTACATAAAGCTACTAACATAAAACTAATTGAGATCATTTTGTAAAAATCGTACGATTAAATACAAATATCTGTGTGGGTACATTTTTGTTTTGGAATTTCTTGCAAGTTCATCAGCAAGTCTTCCTGCCACATGTAACATGTACAGAAAGTGTAAAAGTATGCAAAAATCAAAATAAGACCACGAATTTAGTCGATTTTTTTAAACCTGTGTTTCTTGTATTATGAAACAACAGTAATAAATCTTAAGTTTTCTTGATAAAGGCATAAAATAGGCTATTTGACTGATTTTGGATCTCCCTGAATAGTTACATGAACTTTGGGAGATGTTTTGGGTTCATGTTTTTTTATTGTAAACTAAAAAACAATCAATATTGACTCTGCTGGGTTGTTGCAAACGGAATTCCACTTTTTTAAACATATCACAAAGCATTAGCTTTTCATTTAAAAAAATTAAACTTTCCTGCCAAAAAGGGGCTCCTAGAATATAGCGTGCGTAAAAGTACTTTGGCAATTAATATAATTAGTACTCTATAACCCTTGATGGTGAATCATGTTTTTCCACATATAGCAGCAAATATATAAAAATATTGAAAATCCTTTAGTTGTATATTGTTTTTTCAATAAAGTAAATATTTAGCTATTTAGCTACATGGCGTTTATGTGTATAATATATACGTAATTAATAAAATATGTACTTTTACCACGTAGGTAGCCTTTTTTTTTTGTTGTAAATATTTGATCACTACATATTTTTAGTGCTGATGTAAGCGATGAGTATGTGTAACAAGCAACTAATTTTTTAATACAATCACAATACAAAAAATTTATATCCTGATAATTTTTGCTTTATCATCCACACTCTGTGAACGCTTTTGAAAGAAAAGAAGGGAACTTTTAGACATGTGTTTCCCCTACAATTTTTTTTTTTTTATTATTTTAGGTAAAACACTTAATTCATACCACATACTGGCAAATTTTAATAAGCAACTATGAATAACACCAGCTTGTAATTTTATAATAGGAAATAATATTTGTTACTTACAACAGTCTGTCCAGGGTAACCAGGCCCTAGGTAGGCGCCATTGATGGAATGATTCCAATAATCCCTAATATTATAATTAATGCTACTCCTAACTTCAACTATAGATCCACATTTTGATTGCATCCTAATCATTTGATCTATGCTCTGAAAAACGAAGCGCATACATCACACACAATTTTCAAACAACTCTTCTGCAGCTCACCTGAATCCTTCCAAATTTATCACCCAAAGCAACAGCATCCCCTACATCGAATGGCTTCACAAAACACAACCTACTCTCTGGAACATGTTCAATGACTTTATCACTCTCAACAATTTGCACAGTAGCAAATTGTTTCGTTTTTTTGCAATAACCCCTCTGAGTCTCCTTTCCTTCTTCAAGTCTTCTTACAATATCTCCTGGAATGATGCTTCGACTCATCAGGTGCACTTTGCTTTGTCTGCAGATCTGCTTGCGGTTAGAGTTGCTCCACGAAACAAGGATTTGGCCCTTTTGTAGGGCTGAGTATTCATCACTGTCTGAACCTTCATAACTTTCACTGACTATACCAAATGTGATTCGTTTCCGTTCATCAAATTTGTAAACCAAATCGTGAGCGTAAAATTCTTTAACGTTGTCTGCGGTGACGGACATTACTTTGTCTTTGATGTTTTTTGTGGTATAAGCTAAAAACAACACTACGATTTTGAAATTGGATAGAAAAATGTTTTAAAATGGCCAATGCGATTCGGTTTTTTGACGTTTGGCCGGCGCATGACAATTACAGAAAAGAAACAAGGTGTTATATAGGCAACCATATTTACTGTGGTGTTGAAGAAGTTATATATCTTTATTGTCCATGAACAGCAAGTTAAGGCTATTCCAGCGTAATATTTATTCAGTTGATGCAAAATGTTCCTTAAAAATAAGGTTACTATCAATATGTGGCTGTCTTGATTTGTTTAGGATAAATACAAAGCCATAAACAAGTATACTAGTGTGAGCTAACATGAGTCGTAACAATTGCATATTATTAGTAACATTACTAATATAATTAATAACAGTAACAATTTTACGGCTGATAATGATTTGTTGCCATCGTTCTTAATAAAAAACGAAAGACATATATTTTATGAATTATTTTCTGCAACCATCAATATTTTCTGATCTTTGGAAAAAAGCACCAATTTATTGTTCCCATTACAAAAATGGTGAAAGTCTCGTCTACCCCGTGATAAGGAAGCTTTTTGATCACTCAGTGCGCTATAATAATATAACGTTTATCCCCACAATACCGAAAACACACAAAATAGAGTTTAGCTTCGTCTAGAATTAGATAATGCCAACGTAGTTGGCGAAACGCGTCGACCAATATTTTGTGTGCTTTGCACAGTCTATACGTGAATCTATAGCTAAAAACATAAATGGACATCATCATCATGTACTTCACTTTCTACTAGAGCATTGACACATAATAGATTATGATATACTATTGACAAAGTTAAGCCCATATGGATTTTCTCCACAATTTTTGAAGTTAGTGTCATCTTATTTGTCGAACCGTTCTAAATTATGTTTATTTCAGTAGCTATAATTCTTAAGAATTTGTGCCAAAATGCGAAGTTTCACAAGGATTCATTTTACGCTCATTATTATTCAAGAACTTATTCACCCAGCTGCAAAAACTTCGGCAGCTTTCAAAAACCGATATAAATATTTGAATATCACAAATGTATACACACAAAGAAAAAGAAGTCTGAATTAAAATAACTGGATGATAATACCTAAAGTCGGGAAACCAATAAACGTGCTACAGAGGACGTTGTGACTAGAACGGAATTTAAGTTCCTTCCCGTAGTCTATCATTCTTCCTCGATGATTTTACTTTATTGACCGGTGTAACACACACACACACCACATTTCTATGTAGAAAAAACCTGCCGCATATTATAGGCTATAACTGATTTTCGCAAAACAAGCAGTTATTTCCAAACCGCGTGTTTCACGTGGACGCGGGTGTCCCCCTGAATAGCTAACAATTCTACAGCTAGCCAGTTTTGACTAGAAACAGTGTGTATTGCGTTCGCCATGCGAATTTGGGTATTTATTTTAAAGATTCGAATTCTATATTTCTAGAATTTAACGATAACTGAATTATCAAGAAGCAGGCAAGCAGCATTTAACTGCGCCACATTCTGTTACTAATTTTAAACAACAAAGAATTTACATGATATTAAATCATCCATTAACTCAAGTTATTCATAAAATCAAAAAACAAAACATCAAATTAATCAAGATTGCATCGTGGACCGAATCTCTACAAACATAATATAAGATAAAACATATGAAATAAATACAATAGTCACATATTAAATACGGTAAAAAATCAAAATAAGGTGGTCTCGGAAACACTTCGCTCTAGAGCGGTATATTTTGAGAATAAATGTTCAAATTCAGTATGCAAGAATAATTTAGCCTTTATGAAAATAACACATAAATGTAGTGCAAAATCAACATAAAATACTGACGATAATTTTCAGAATGCAATAAATGAATTATTTTAAAATCTCGAGTGAGTAATTATGAAAAGTGGATAATCTAATAAGTTGCCATTTGTATTGAAAGACCACTTGTTGATAGTAGCAATATAAAGGCACTTGTTGACGGAATTGTTAAAATTTTTCAACATTTAAGATTAGAAAAACGTTAAATAATTGATCTTACACTAATTAAATTTATTTGACTGTGGCGCCGAATGACTGACTCTACAAAAACAAGAACTCTCCACTTTTTTACTTGTTGTACATTCTAAACCTCTATTTTTATTCTTCAAATGCGATTTCACGGTGTTGTTTTTTTCTAGTAGCCAAATTTAATTTTTAAGTCAGGACACCACAACAGTATCTAACATTAAAGTACGAGCATAATTGTTGAAATACGAAGATGTCTGTACAATATGACTAAAATTAAGTTAATGAATATAAATGAGAAGTATTCGTGGTTCAGAATGAAATTTAAACTCAAAAAATTGTTAATGCGATCTTAAAATTTTACCAAATAAATTCTACCTAAAATATGCAAAGTATTATGACTTGTAGTTTATCAATGTATTCGTTTTTTTTACATTTATAAATATAGGGTGACCCAAAAAAATTAATGAATAAGGCAATTTATATTATTGATAGATCAAGAACGAGTCATCCCTTTCACTTGAAACATACGCATAGCATCCTTCTTTATCTGTACTTTAAATCCCCATATAACTTTATTTTAACATAGAAAGGTTATCGTGAAAAAAAAATAAATTTTATAATTTTTCGATGAATCTGTATTTGTTTAAATGTACTTCAGAAACCAGGAAAGTTCTGTCTAAATAAGTTTAGATTAATTTTTAATTTAATATTCTATAAATATAATGTAAGTGTACAATTTAGTAATAGATAACAAAGTAATAAAATCGAGAAACACAAGCTTAAATTCATTTATGTCGAACAAAATATAAATCTTTAAACAAAGCAAACTCTTCGTTATGTAATATTTAAATTATAGTCTTCCAATAAATATTCGCACTATGGTAGGGCAGTATGGACGCCAATGCGTAGTGACATGTGCAGAACTCTTTATTTTAGCTGACCATACAAATATAATATAATGTTACACTGGGATTTTGTGCCTAAACTGAGCGACCACTTCTGTCGGTAGCTCATAAAAAACTGTAACAAAAAGACTAATTGAAACTTTAACAGCGCAGTGCAAGAATGTTATTACGTTTTCAAGTTTTTTTCATGGGAAAATGATCCCGGTGAGAAAATATGCAAAATATTCGAAAAAAGCTTCGTTTGATATATATTTACCTACACGAACACGGTCGAAATGTGGTTTACAAAAGGTACGATTTTGTTATCCCTTAGTTTTTCAAATACATATTATGTGAATATTCACAAAAAGCAAAACGCTACAATTGAAATACACTAGTTGAAAATAAACTGTATTTTGAGAGTCAAAGAACCAGTTTTTACTGGAGTGTTAACTGTTAAGTCACTATCGTCGATGTAATAAAGGCTTCTAATTGTAAAATGCTGCGATTAGTGAGATATTAATGGCTTCCAATTGTCTCGTGTATCCAATCAGAATAATAAGAAACCCGGTTTTATACATGTGGGTATCTATGTAAGCCTAGATTGTCAAGAGAGTAAGTGCCTAAGCCTACAAGAATGTTGTTACACATTAAGGGAACTCTGGGACCAGGACAACATCCTCCTACTCCAGTGGTTGGGGAGAAGGCACAAACCTGTCCAGGTCCACGTGGTATTCTGTCATTGATTTCCGAGCCTTCTCCTAATGTTAAACAATCTTCGGTAGACAGAGCTGTCACTTCAGCATATTCCAAAGGTGATGGACAGGGGCGGCTTGTCCTATGAGGCAGGTGAGGCAGTGCCTCACCAATGAATTTTACGCCTTATTAGGATTTTTACTATTTTTTAACGACACATTTCGGCCAATAATTTGTGTCTTTTTTCTAAAAGTTTAAAAATAAATATGGAAAATTATATTCTTATTTTTATCTCAGTAGGTACTCGTTGCTCCCTTAATTAAACAGCGCGCTGAAACACTCGACACAACATGTATTTTGTGACGCGAATGAGGCAAACTCGGAGCTTGCCTCTACAGCGGATATAGAAATCATATCGTTAATAGGCAAGCAACCTGCAATACACTCATAAGCGGTATGAGTTGAAAAAAGACAAAATTGAGGCTAGCCTCATTTCCGTGCTTGCAAAAGAGATGGACAACAATATTTGCGCGCGGAGAACGTGCGATTAAAATGCAGTCTGCATTTGCAGAAGTATTCAAAATTAGGCCGTTGATTGTTTTGCCACAAATCTGTGTGTGTATAAATTGATTCAAAATTTCGGTAACAGAATTTTGTCTTAAAAGTGCCTACGTTTGTGTGTGTCGCGTTAGTGCTTTGTGCTTGTCATAATTTGATTTCGGTAATCGTTATTTAAGATTACGAGTAAATCGGAATTTTTCTCTACTAACGTTAAATGACAATAGCAGTTCTGTTTTTTCTACTTTCACGTATGATGATAAATTGTATGTAGTTAAGAAATTAAAACGGCCGGTTCCTGATTTGAGTAAATCGTTAATTATTGATCTATAAAAAAGTTTAAAATAAATCCAGAGTATTTATGTTTTATATGTTTTTCGTTTTGTTTTTTGTTATAAATCAAATGGGTTTATTTTATGTTGTATTTGATTTTTTTCGATATGTTTTCTTTAAAGTTTATTTTAATTTTGTTTTTTTTTTTTAAGTTATATTAGTTTTTTCTGACCACGTTTCCCTTTCCTTTTGTCCTGTCATTCCCATCCTTTCCTTACAAGAGTTCCTTACAACTTCACGTTGGTTCTTGGTGGACAGTTAAATGAGTTTACAAATTTGTTTATTTGACTAAGTAGAAAATATTTAAGTAATCTTGATTTATTTATATTTTGGAGCGTATTGTGCTTTGCCTCATCAACTTTTCAAGTCATGAGCCGCCCCTGGTGATGGATCAGTATATTTATTAGTGACTATGTCCATCCTACAACTGTGCAGGACTCATATGGCGAAACTTCGTTGGACTTAACGCGAGGCGGGCTTGGCAGGTCCGTTTTGCCCTAGAATGTGCCGATTATGTTTAAGTGTAAATCTGGGCAATAAAATTAATATTTTTACAACCCTCGGTAGTATAATTTATCGTGATAGATTCTCAGAAATCATGAAACGAGATTAAAATAAAATGAGTTTCAACAAAAATCTGAAAATTTAAAGTTGCACTCTGGTGATTCCGGCCTGCCAGGCAGCCTTTGATCCTATAAGGGGTTTAAATACATTTCTAAGAAATTGTACTTATTTTGCCTTAAACGGAACCAGCAATTCTTCCTAAAATGTATATACCTGCCGCACCGGGATAGACGATTAGCGGACATGGTCATAAAAACATCGTAAGCCGATATTGAAGAATAATAATTTATGACAACAGACCTTCAGCACAGAATAATCATTTCCCGTATTCTTTTGAAATATTAATTTTAATGCTGGAGATAATTATTAGATATACTCAAACACAATTTGGACACTGTAGTATGGGAATAAAAACAAAAAAAAATCTTTTTAAGCGTATGTAATAAATATTGCACAATTTGCGACATATCAAACAGTGAAGCGATGGCCTATTTGGAGGAAAAAAGAAAAGATTTTTCACTCTTGAATAACTATGCTGCAGTAAAATGTTTATTTTTTAAATTTAATACCACAATTCCTTCTTCTGCACCTGTGGAACGGGTGTTTAGTAGCGGAAACCAAATTCTGACACCAAGAAGAAATAATTTAAGTGACAATACGTTCGAAATGTTGTTAATTTAAAAAAAATCATTAAACAATACATAAAAAAATACATAAACATGTTTTCAGTTATTTCATTCTCCAAAGGTTAAAAAAGTATCTGTTTTCTTCTATCTGTATCTAGATACATTTCGAAAAAATCTAAGACAATCTGTATCGAGATACTTTTAAAAGTATCTGTCCCCAATACTGCTACTAACTGCATAACTATAACTCATACACTCACAACTATAAACAAACAATAAATCAAGGTACACCACACATTAATATTTTAGTCGCCTCGACTTTACAACCCTGCAAATGGAAGTTTTAGATCTCTCCCCAGTTTGAATAGAGATTCCAGGGAGACTTTGATTGTTGAGAACATGACGATTTTTCTTATTATTAGTAGATGGTCCAGCTCTGGGTTTTGCAAGGAGAGTTTGAGTGCTGAGAACATGAAAATTTTCTGTATCATTAGTAGCAGACCAGCTTTGGGTTCTGATCTTGGTAGCTTCTACGTACACTTCCACCCCCCGTGTCGCTTGAGGGTGATTAGTGGTGATTAGGTCGCCTCCAACACTTGCCAGCATTTCTCCAATGTTGTTTAAACTGATTGGTTGCACTTTTAGAATAAATGACCAATTTTCGGTAGTTTATGTGTGCTGGTCTTCGACTAATGTAGTTGGTGATCAAATTTATCGAAACCAGATTTGTTATGGCAAATAACCTTGAGTTATTTCTTTTCGTTTTGGTACATTAGCAAAAATTGAATCAGTTTTAATGCTTAGATCGTCTTGTTTCATCTCTGTTATTTCTTCTATGCTCCACAATAACTTATTATTAGTGCAACATGAGAATTCTGTTGATTTAATGCAATTTTGGAAGGTTAATTCACTCAATTTTATGGCAAGACAATCGGAATTAGTGCCTCAAAGATGAATTTGCTGATTTCTGGTTTTCCAATAGTGTTTATATTCCTTACAATATTTTTTCTAGAAAAGCTTAAAGTTGATTAAATTTAGAAAGTGTCAACTTTTTATTCAAAAGTTAACATTAGGCGTAGAATGGAATAAATTTTCCACAAAGTGGAGCTTTTTCTTTACTGTAAAATATGAAAGCAACCAGTCGCTCAACTCGTTTACAATACTTCCTCAGCTTACGCTCAGGAAGTAAAAAACTATAATATAGGGTTTCTATAAATGATTATAGAAAAACTGACATTTATTTACAATCATTTGAAATAAATATACATGTATATAATTAAATCCCATGTTTGAAACTTGATGTCTCAGAAACAATGTTATAATTATAACTATCGCCCGTATGAAACCATTTTTGAAGATATTAATTACCGTAAGCAACTGCTTTTTTTTGTAGAAGACATTCACAACCGTAGTTAATTCGTATATAGACCGGAAGAAAATATTTTTTATCATTTTCACAGCACTTTCTTTCGATGGTCCCTAACAAGGAAAACCAAATACATCAACATATAAAAAATTATGCATTATATTTTCATCACAGCTGCATTACATTACATTCCATATTCAAATTCTAAATTCTAATCTCGATCTAGTGGATGACCATTGGTCATACAGAGAGGGCTCTTGTAGGGAAGATGACAACCCGCTAGTGCACAAATTTTTTTTCTTAATTTGCATTTAAACACTTTGTATCACTGATAGAAAATGTTTATTTAAAATATTTGTGAAATAAATTGAAAATTATTAAACCAGTTCTGTGTGAAGGAAGAGTGACATACAAAAATAAATCTAGATTTATAGATATGTAATTAAAACAGTTTCCTTATAAACCTAGATAGATAGCTCTAACTTTGCCTCGCGTTACCTACTTAGAGCAACAGTCAGCGCCATTAAGAGGTGCAAACAAGAAGACATTTTATCTATTGAAAGAAATTACGGGTTCCAACTTAACTTAAAAAAAATCTATATTCGGACACATGTGATGGCTAAAATAAGAATACTTATATCTTATATGACAGCTGTTTTTAGCGATAATGTAAAAAAAAGGCTTTAAGAAAGAAATTCATCACAGACTTGATTTCACGTGTGCGAACTGGAAGGATGCGCAATTAGTATGTCGGTCGAACAGGGAAAACGTACCATTTTCAGCATGCGTTCCCTTGTTGGTAAGTAGCGAAGAATATTAAGTGGTAAATATGAACTTCTCTGAACACGAACTAACCATCATAGAGTAGCGTAATGAATTTCTCTGGTTAGCACGTGCCATTGTCTATGTTAATACTTCCCAGAACGCGATATATTTAATGAACTACTTCGTTGGAGTGGAGAAGTATATTCCGGGTAGGGTATGAATGCGGGACGCCATACTCTAATAAATTTAAATAAATACCACAAGTTAGTTATTATTATGCAGCACAAATATTTGAACATCTGAAGATTATGTACCTTTTCGTGGTGAACTGACACGTGTAAATGAAAAATTCACTTGTAATTCAATTTCGGATGATAAATACGTACGTAAATCACAAAATCACAATTTTAGAAACTCAAATGGTTATCATGCCTTAAATTTTACGTTATCCAAATAAAAAAGGTAAATGGCATAGTTATCAATTTTCTCCTATTTTTGTCTTGATTTAGTCAGTAGGTATGATGCATATTTGGAATGTACATGAATATTGTAGTTTCGATAACTCAAATATTGTACCAAAATTGGACATTTTGCACCAATTTTGAAAATCTGCGAAAAATTCAAAATTTGACTTGAGCTGTACTAATCGTTAAAAAAATGGAACCCTACGTTGTGGTGTGTGTGTTTTTATATTAGCGAAGTGCGTTCAAATAAAAAAAAAATGCAAAATGGTGAATCTCCAGGTATGAAAAGTGTATTCCTCCATTCTGGAGAGAAGAAAGCTGTTGAAATAAGCCAGAATTACTTTATTTCAGCTGCAAAAAATCTCACCAGCTTTCAAAAATAAAATCAAATTTAATGTTACAAATTGATACACGCGACGTACTAACAACATTCGCATTCCATCCTTGCAAAGCAGGCACTCTCGGGAAATACTCTTACATACTCGGCATACTTCTAAACCAAATGTTCAAGTTCTAGCTATACCAAATTATTAAAGCTGTAAGAAAACATTAAAGCTTTCCCTCTTTCGAGTTCACGATGATATTAATTTAACAGATAATAACTTTCGAGTCTTTTTTATGTATAAGACTAGTTTAAATGCCACTAATGAACAAATTATTTAAAATCTGGAGTGAAAAGTTATGAAATGCGAAAATATAATAACTTATAGAGGTATTTCCATCTAGAATTTGAAGTATCGTTACTAGTGAGTCAAGCCTGAAAAAGTAAATTTCTATTTTCCAAGTGTTTTATGTGAAAATGTACCTACATTCTTCGAAGGCAACTTAACAGGACACAGGTATAGACAATTTTTGGAAAATTATTTTCCGGGGTTATTAGAAAATGTTCCTCTTAACCCCCGACAAGAGCTATGGTTTCAGCAGGACGGGGCACGACCTCATTATCATAGTGTCGTTAGGGACTATCTTGATGAGACGTTTGCAAATAAGTGGATTGGCAGAGGCAGTGTGAATGCATGGCCCCTCGGAGTCCCGACTTAACACCTTTAGATTTCTTCCTCTGGGGGGTTGTAAAAGAACAAGTTTACCAAAGTCCAATTCGTAATTGTGAAGATTTAAAAACTAGAATTAGAAATGCATGTGCTGCAATAACTCCTGAAACACTTGCCCGCGTCCGCTTGTCTTGCTTAATCGCATCGAAATGTGTGTTACGCAGGAAGGAAGGCATTTTTAACAATATTTACGCTAGTGAAATTTATTTAATTTTTCAATTTATTTATTAAATTTCTTTGAAACAATATGTTAGTGTTTTTTAATATTTCATTTGTGAAATTTTGAGTTATGTCTTTTTTAGAAACGGTGATAACTATGTAGTAAGGAGAATACCTACGTTGATCCTAAAAACGTATGTGTTTATTTTCGAATCTAGCAATAACTGATAGATGTATGTTGTGTTGCATTGAAAATTTGTCAGGGTCCCGTTGTTATATGTAATACTCACCCTGTATTATTAAATAAATATTTTTTTATATCAAAAACAATTAGCAATTGAGCTTTTTTATTACTATAGACGTATTTAGCAACCCCGAATTAAGTAAAAATGATTGCAATTATACATGGCACAATTTTTTTTTTATATTGTCGCCCAGTAGGTATAATTAATTCGTTTTTAATACCAGTGTTATGTGAGACTCACTTTCTTTGGAGGAGAGTATGCTTTGTTCAGGAATGTTGGAGCAACATTAGATCGAGAAACTTTCTTTATGAAACACGAACATGAAGCTTTCCAGAAAAACGTAGAGTTTAGATGTTTTTAGAACCCAAGAAGAGCTAGCCGAAGTGAGAAAATAAACTGTATTTTGAGAATCAAAGAACCAGTTTCTACTGGAGTGTTCACTGTTGAAAGTCACTATTGTCAATATAATAACGGCTTCTAATTGTAAAATGTTGCGACGAGTGAGACATTAATGGCTTCCAATTGTCTCCTGTATCCAATCAGAATAATAAGAAACCCGAGTAAATACATCCGGGTATCCATGCGAGCCTAGATTGTCAAGGGAATAACTGTCTAAGCCTACAAGAGTGTTGTTACACACTAAGGGAACGCCGGCACCAGTACAACATCCTCCTACGCCAGTGGTTGGAGAAAAGGCACAAACTTGTCCAGGTCCACGTGGTATTCTGTCATTGATTTCCGAGCCTTCTCCTAATGTTAAACAATCTTCGGTAGACAAAGCTGTCACTTCAGCATATTCCAAAGGTAATGGATCAGCATCTTTAGTGAGTGTCCAACCTACAACTGTGCAGGACTCATTGGGGGAAACTTCACCTATCTGTATGGTTGAAACTGTCTCAGTAAATTCAAATTCACCATCAATTTTTGCTAAACCAATGTCATGCCAATAATTAGTGCTGCTAATATTAAATTCTGGGTACTGAATAACCTTGGAAACGTTATATCTAATACCATCAATATTTGGTTGATTAGTACCTGCTACGATATACATTTCGTCGACTTGTATAAATCTGGAAAACATATTGGTTAACATGTTAATACGCAAGGTGTATTTATTTTACTTACAAGAAGCACTGAGCTGCAGTTAAAATCCATTGTTTATTTAGAATGCAAGCGTCACAAATATAATGATCAAAACCATTTGAATAAAACTGAAAAGAGACTATAAACGGAAACTGACCCGGTTCTGCTGTTTTTCCACCAATAATTTTCTCATTAGGATTAAGAGACCAAGTCAGCATCCACAGATGTACAAAGAAAAGCGCCAAGGACAGGCGAAATTTCTTTAAGAAATACATGTTTATAGTTGAAGCAAAAGCAAGTCGTTTTATTTTGATTTTTATGTAGAATTTAATAAGTGCGCGAATCAGATTTAAAGAGATAACGATATATGATAGATAATACAAAATAACAAATAGAACTTAACCCTTTGTTACATTCTACTTAAATATATAGCTGTTAAAAACATTTTTCAGATGTTATTTTTGTGTTATCGGGCCACATAGGTATTTTACTGTCACAGATGGAAGATAAGATCTGTTTTAAGTGTAAAACTTGAGTGTAAGTGTAAATAAAACAAACAATACATGCTCGAATGTTACCATTGCGGTATTCTAATCCGAGAAACAAAGATGTATACGTTATGTGTATTAAAATTGAGGTTTTATCGAAAAATTAAGGAAATACTGGAAGGTGGAGAATAGTTACTTTCATGTTTTCTCGATATTTCATGGGCCCTAGCATATGAAAAAATAGGTGTTCCGTTTTCGTCTCTCTGCCTGTCTGTCGTCTGCGTCGATATTTTTTAAACAGATAATGTCCGAGTCTCACAGACTGTTCACAAATTTTATAAATATTTTAGGAACTTGTTGATGATTGTTACACTTTCGAAAGAAAAAAAAACAAAATCTTACATTTGACAAATGGAAATTTTTATTAATGAAAATTAAGTTATATTTAAAGCAACGCATAGATACTGACTAGAGCTTACGAAACTCGAAGAAGTGACCACTTTAATAGTAATCCATCCAGTAATAAGAGAATATACTTATATAAAAGTAAAAAACACAGTAGGGTTAAAAATGGAGAAATCAGTTTTCTTCTTCTGGTGTGCAGCAGTGTCAGTACATTTTAGTACATATAACTCCATTAGTCTTTACTTTTAAATATGTTTTCGAGAAAACTACCTTTTATTTAGCATTTAGTAAAAAATGTTCACCGTTATCTAAGTACTTCGAAGGAAAGGTATGCAGCTTAATGGAGCAGTAACTGATATACTCGTATGTTGTGTTACGGAAAAAACGCATTATTTTTATCTTAAACACACGTGACTTAGTTGCTAATTGCTGTCCATTATCTCTTGTATCCAATCAGCATAATAAGAAACCCGAATGAATACATCCGGATACTTATGCGAACAGGAATCGTCAAGAGAGTAAGTTCCTAAGCCCACAAGAGTGTTGTTAAACACTAAAGGAACACCAGCACCACTAAAACAAGCTCCTATTCCCCCAGTAGGAGAAAAAGCACAAACTTGTCCAGGTCCACGCGGCACTTCATCATTTATTTCCGAGCCTTCTCCTAACGCCGAGCAATCTTCAGAAGACAACGCTGTTACTTCGATTCTACGACAACTGGTCGCAAACAACTGATCGCGCGACAATTGATCGCAAACAACTCGTCGCAGCACAATTCGTCGCACGCGACAATTGATCGCGATGACAATTGATCGCAGCGACAATTGATCGCACGTAAATTGATCGCAGCGACAATAGATCGCACGTAAATTTATCGCAGCGTCAATTGATCGCAAAGTAAAATTCATCGGGAAGTATTTTCTTTTATTAAAACTGAATATTTTGTATTTTGAATTTTAAGTTGCAATAAATTTAGCAATCAGGTAAGGTGTAAATATCGAATTAAAAACAATTTGAATATAGATAAGTGACGAAGTTTGTAGTTGCACTTTAAAAACTAAAAAATACGAGCGTAAACACCTTGTTACATAAGATTTTTTGTTAATAAATTGTCATTTTGGTTATTTTTGTTTAAGAGATTGTTACTATTTATGTCGTTGCTTATTTTACCTATTATATTATAGGAACTAGCTTCATTATAATAAGTACTCAACATAAAAAAAGTGTTTTTTGTTCTTAACTAGATTTATTATACAATTATTTAAAAAATCATATTTTTAACAACCTTTAAATTTTAACACATCTTGATACAGAATTGCCGCTATTGTCTATTCTTGTCTTCATACATATCACCAACCAATAAAATTTATGAACTAATAATACATCTAGATTATCCATATGCAGCGAATGTAAATTCCACTGGACGGATATAATATTTATTTTAATCCCTTGTAAATTGCAACGGATCATTTACAGGGTTTGAGAAAGGTTTACGTGTATTGTAAATATATATTGCAAAAACTTTTGTTAGAGCGTCAAGAATAATTTTGTGTTACCGGGAAATCTAAGAAATGTAGGTACTTATGCAATTAAAAACTTGTACTTTTTAATTATTATTATGTGACTAGTATTGTACTGAAGAAAAATTCAATTGTACCATTTTGGGGGTGTAAAAAATACATATACAGGGTTAGTCACGAGAAAATTACTTCTGAAAATTATTTTTACGCAACCCAAAATACGAATCCCGTGTACCACTTGATACTAACTGAATTTAAAATGAAATACTTAATCCATGATTGCTTTGAGTTTGGCAATGTCATTTTGACAATTTTGGAAAAGGAGGTTACGTGAGTGTCCATGGTGGTATCGCAGCCAGTTGGAGATCTCCGCTGGCGCCGCTAATAAGTTTGTCAGGGCTTGCTTCAAGCGCCTCTTGATCTTTTGCAACCGATTAACGACGAGAAAATTATTTCTAAAAATTCCTTTTACGATAGATATTTCTGTGACGTGTAAAACAGTTCTTAGATCTAAAAAAAAAGGAAGAAATAATTGGTTCGCAGTTTTCCATGAATGACCCTGCTACGAACTGCTACCTGATTTTATTATTCTCCGCACTTTGCATCCTACAAAAATTTACAACATGGGCCGGAGAAAGCCCACCTACATCCCACAGATTAGGCAAATAATAGTGAATAGTCGGCCTTCCAAGTGAAATGCCCCTCAATCAACTTTTCAAACTTCCCAAGCTAAAAATTAGTCACGCCATTGCGAATAACCACTATTCAGTGGCGTCGTCATCCTGTTTGTTTCTACTTTTTAACGGTATTCACTGTTTGTATTACGTGTTACTCGTGATGTATTGATTGATTTAAATATTTTAAATAATATTAATTAATAGAGAATATAAATCTGTTATGTGCGTTGTTTTATTCAACAATTTTTATTCCATGAGCCGCTTCAAAAAAAAAAAAAAAACTGTACGTCACTATCATCGGCAGTCTTATCCGGGTACTGTTTATGACACTTTTCCGCTTTGGCTCGAAACCATCATTTTAAGTCTGGCACTTCCTCCAGTATGAGTATATTCTTTGCTCTATGATCAAAACTAATCTTTTTACGATCTTGTTTACACAAATGGCGTAAAAGTGGAGATTGGTATGTAGGTACTTAGCAAAGGGAATGAGATAAATTATTCATTCTTTCGTATCTACAAGCGCCTCATTAACAGTGTAAGCGTTCAAAAAATTTCTGAATGAAAAAATATCTTTGGTTTTATCATGGATTAAAGATAATCCAGAACTAATTTGTAGTGACCAAAAAATTGTATGCAAAGCATGCAGTAAACTGCAAGATTAATTGTTAATATATAAATTAATTTTCTTGCACCAAATTTATAAAAAAATATATATTTATTTAATTTTTTAAACTTTCAAACGTAATGAAAATAATCTTTTTCACTTAAAACTGTAAGGAGAGTTTTTTCACGATTTCATTGATTATGATAAATCTATAAATTTTTAATTTGACAGTTGTAATAATTTTAAAGCCATTTTTTATTAAAAAAATGACGTGTGTAACACGTTTTGAAAGCTATTTTTTTTCACTCGTGTAATTGACAAACTTTAAACTTGTGAAAAAAAAAGCATGAATCACTTACTTGAGTGTCTAATTAATAAGACGAATAATCCAAATGAACATTACAGTAGCATACCGACGAAATATGTGTCAGCATTAAAAAAATTATTTTACAATATTTTCATTTACTAGTTACTAGTTACTAGTTACTGTTTTTATGGAACTCGTATGTATTTATTTTGACACTTTTTTAGAAATAATGAAATTTTTGAGAATATAACACTTTATTTTATTTTCCTCATTCATAACAATTACATATTTTCTCTATAAATGCTATCCTTTTTCGCCTGCGATCAATTGTCGCATGCGACCAGTTGTACTTGCGACGAATTGTGTTGCGATGAATTGTGACTGCGACCAGTTGTCGCTGCGACCAGTTGTCGCTGCGACCAATTGACGCTGCTATCAGTTGTTTGCGATCAATTGTCGCGCGACGAATTGTGCGCGACGAATTGACGCGGTACCTGTTACTTCAATGTATTCCAGAGGAAAGGGGCTTCCATCTTGAGTGACTGTCCAACCCGAAATAACGCAAGACCCATTTGTCAAAACTTCACCTATTTGTATGGACTGTAGCGTATCGGTAAATTCAAATTCACTGTCTAATTTTACTAAACCAATGTCATGCCAAACTGCAGTACTACTAATGTTGAAAAGTGGATGTTGAATTAGCTTGGAAATGTTGTATCTAGAACCACTGGCCTCCAATTGGTTAGTACCTGCTATGATGTAAGCTTGTTCCGGTTCCAAATTTCTAGAAAATGTATAGATATAATTTGATTAATTAATTAATAATAATTTAACACAAGGTGATATTTACTTTACTTACAGCAGACAGTGAGCTGCAGTTAAAACCCAGTGTTCGTTCAAAATGGAGGCATCACAAAAATGACTATCAAAACCAGTCGAATGCACTTGAAAGGAAACTAGATAGGGGAACTGACCAGGTTTTGCTGTTTTTCCACCAATGATTCTACTATTATGAGGAAGAACCATACACACATTTATGAATATGAAAGCTAAACAGCAGATATAATTTTTGAATAGCTGCATGATCCTTATAGTTTAATTATAAGTTGTTCTCGTTTGCTCTTCTATAGACATTTATACGTGCGCAAATCAAGTTCACGAAGATAACGATGTGGGACATCATACTATGACAATGATAGCACTTTCAATAAAAAATAGATAACAAATTAAATTACGGATCAATTTTTGTGGAAAAGTAAGATGTTGGTTTCCTTTTATAAAATTAACAAAAATTTTTGTTTTTTATTATTGTAGGAATACCCATTATAGAGCAAACTCATAATATTCGAATGAGTCACAATAGAATTTATCCATGTAAAGAATGTTAAGTCAAGAGGCTGTGTAACCGTCGAGTGGCTGAAATTTTCAAGTGGGTAATTTCTAATGATTCACATGAACAATATAACTGTATAACATTTTATCCACCACCTCAAACCTCAAGAGTTAAAAAATGAATAAAAATAATATAATGTCCTGAATGTGGTATTTTTTACCTGCGTTTCTTTAATAATGTTATTCTTGGCTTTCTTGTCGGTTTTTCTTAGAAAACGACCAGTACCAGCGTAAGAGTTGAAAAACGAATTAATCTGCGTACACATGATGATATTAGTTAAGAAGTAAAAGCTGCGACGTCCAGTTTATTACCTAGGCCTGTTTAAAAATAAAAGTTTTTAGTAAAAGTTTTTTTTGACAATTTCGGAAATGAAGCTATTCCATAAATTGAACACATTATTGCAATATTTTAATGCTGATTTATAAAGTTTACTGTTTTTATTAAAAGAAAATCACAACCATTTTAAACCAAAAAAGGTGAATATCTTCAAAGGACAAGGTACTGAAAATTTTTTTGTTTAGTTACTGAATCAGAAGTCTCAATCACTTGTCGTTGTGAAGATTTAACAAGTTAATTGTTGATGACATTCAGGATAAAGGGGTTACCTGCACTCGCTGCCACTAGATATAAACACAGTTAAGCTACGAAGTTTCACCGTTATTGGAGAAATTATTTTCGAAGAGTATAAATTTCTCTGCCATAGCAACGTTTCTTCTCATAAATTTTTTATAAATTGTTATAACGAAGCTATCTTGTCTAATTATTGCTTACTTGAAATTAGTTCAACTAGAGACCGACATAGGCCACGGTTACTGGCGTTCTTTGACCATCCTGTTGTCAGTGTCAGATACGATTTTATAATTTTGAAGCGTCATCGAATCAGTTGCCACTAGATTGGGTGCAGGTCGGAAGTTCTGGAGGGCAACATATTGAAAGAAACTCGGTAGCAATAAATGTGAGGTAAAACCGGTTACAAGTGTTGACGTAAATAATGACGTATTAAAATTATAATAGTCATTATGTCTTCTCTATCTTTAATTGAATATAAATTATGTTAAGTGACTCTTTTTAGTTATCTACAAAATTATAAAGTAGACTGGAATTTTTATAGTTTCATAGTCGCTGTTATTGACTTTATAAAGACAACAACAACAAATTGAAACTTATGTAGTTACATATAATTACAAGTAATGCCTTGTTATATTAAATTATACTGGGTTATTCACGAGAAGCTCCACGCTTGATACATTCAAAATGCAACCAACTATACAATTTCATAGCATTGGTTGATATTTACCAACATTTCTGTTTTAAGTTAAACATTCTTAGCTGTTTGGTTTTGATAATTTGGAAGTAGGTGGCAATTACTACGTTAAAATTAAAAACAAGAGCTCGCCAGGGAATCTCTTCTAACTTCTAGGAAATGGAGGGTTGTTGAATTTTTAAACGAAATTAAAGTCAACAGTGTCGAGTAAGAAGGATCTTCATTAAAAAGTACATGAATAGCTTTAACTTTGCAATTTAATAATAAGTGTAACTGATGTAATTGTATTGTATTGTATGAAATTATAAGACCGATTCAAATTGTTTAATGCGATAAAAAACTGTTTATTAATATCTTGAATGAATGGCGTTATATTAAATCTCCCAAGAAAATAATTTTGTCACGGTGTGTTATTTCAAAATTACTGATAAGTAAGTTCTAAACTTAATTCATAATCATTAAAACTAATTGATGGTGGACTGTGTGTTATAAAAAACAGACATTCTCCAAGTTGCAATCAATTTTTCCACTCAACAAATGAACAGTAGAACCAGATGAGGTTCTAAGCGATACGATGTTATATTCGAAGCACGCTCGTCATTAACGGCTCCTCCTTTTCAGACGTTGCTTTCAAAATTTTTATTTCTATGGACATGATGTTGTGCTTGGAAATATTCCATTACTGGAAATGTCACTGATGAGTTTAGCCCAAATTTCAGCTTAATGCATTTTGACAGAAACACTGTAAGCTTTTATAATTAGACCCAAAGCATAGTTGGTAGTATTTGATAAAAAAATACTGGACAAAATTAGAAAATCGGGTTCTCATAGATCAATGAAAAGCAATGGGAGTAAGACGTTCATGTCACTACTATTTGTCCAGTTTTTTTTTTTTTAAATAAAATCATACGATTTTGAGAAGTACTATTTTTAAGCTAAAATACATAGATGAAAGTTGATAACTTCTCAATAAACTACAAATTTTTGTACCATATCTCTACCAAAACACATATTAACTGGGATATATTCTCTAACATGCGAATTATTTTTTATGCCAGAATATAAATGCTTTACGTCCAAAATAAAAGTAGATAGATCTAAAATTTCCGTTTTTACTTTTTTTACTTCTATTTACCAAATGTCTTTTTTATCTGAAATTACAATTAGGACAATTATCTAAAACTTAAACCAGAAGAAAGTGTTACAGTTGCTTACCAACCTGGCAGGAAAATCTAGAATGACTGAAATTCTCGCATTAATTTAATAATCGGTTTCGTCAACACTGACGCCTTAAAATTTAAATTCTGTGTCACTTTAACTGTAAAAATTTCATTCATTAATTTTTGTATTGTAATCTTATGTGTACTATTTTCATTTTTTGACGGTGTACTTTTTGTACACAGAGAGTGCCCCGGATAAAATTCCACGGCCTTTCGGCATAAACCTATTTTTTTTTATTGCAACGTACGTTTTTTAACGGACTTTGATGCATCATTCAATTATCATACAATGGTATAAAATAATTACATGTTTTGCACTAGTTTTAACTGTACATAAATATTATACCTATAAGTATACATAAAAAAATTGATTGTCGCCCTCAGAGATAAATAGGTGCAAATACTAAACCCGGTACAGTTCAGTCTGATCATACATACTTTGTAGTATCCTGTGTATTTAGTTCTGAAAAACCGCCAACAGAGATACGATAGACAAACAGACGGAAACAGGATACCGATTTTCATGTTCTACAAGCTCTGAAACGTTAATAAAACAAGAAATTATACATTTTTTGCAATGACTTCATTCCAGTACACCGAAGAAAATAATATAATATGTAATTTAAAACATGTGATAAAATAAGTGGGTGCTTAACATGTCTGGATCACCGTTTATTGTTGTTGTCCTAAAATCTTAAATAAATAAATCTATCAAAATAAACGCCGACACATGTAAAGTGCATTGCATTATTGTGAACTCATCCGTTAAAAAATAACACTTCGTAACATGCTAATAAGTTATAACTGCACAACAGTATAAACATAAAATATAACTACCATCTTTTTGTGGTTAGTTTTACGATTTTGCTAAACTCGAGAGGACAGAGTTCATAAAACTAGAATTCCGTAAAATGCAAACTGCGGTTTTTCCTGGTCCTCCTAAAATATTTAAGGCGTGACAAAAAATAAAGCTTCCACTACTGTGGGACTGTGGGAGTGAACTCTAATAGTTGTTTCCTATGACCGCCTCAAATATTCACGTTCCACGGCAAAGAAATTGTCAGAATACTTAATTAATAAAAAGTCCTGTTCGCCAACATCGCTATTTCACTTATTTAGAAACAGTTCGCCACTATTAAGTAGGTACACGTGATTAATTTAGTCGATAGCACGCAAGGCCACTCGGCCATAAAAAGCAGATGGGTCTAGGGTATGAGGTTTGATGGCAGGAATGATAAAGCAACCGTATAAACCAATAAACACCGAACCCTCCGGATCTAGCGTTTTTCCATGCGCAATCCTGCATGTAAAAATAAAACGATCATTAAAATTCCCGGCCAGAACAGCTTAAAAACATAACCTTAACAAACAGCCGCAATAAATTCTTGTAAATACTTTCATCTATGCAATAAATAATTTCATTGTAAAATTGTCGCAGCTTTGTCAGGAATTAGCTTTTACCGCACACAACCTTGCTGCCTGCATCGCTATCCTTTTTACGAAAATGCAAGGTCGTAGACGGCGCTGGGTACCTCGGCCAAGTTCGGGTCATGGCTCACTAGATGGCAATACTCCGGTTATTCAACTGTCACGTGTGGAGTAAACGGATTCAGCACACATATCACTCTGATCTTGATTTACCTTGGTTATTTATTCGCACACATGCGAAATATATACCGTTTTACCGTTATCACTGGCTTATCCCAGGTTCTGAGGTAATTCTTGCCCGGCACGTGACTGTACCGCCAATCTTCGCCGAAATCACATCTCCGAATGCAGAGTGCACAGGACGATTCTGAAGAAATTGCAGGAGTTGAACAGACTTAAGTATGATTAGATTTCTTTTTATTTTTGACATAAAGACAAAAGTTGACGAACGGTGTTACAGTTATAACTTGGAATGGGTAAATTTTGGTGAGAATTTCCCAGTATGTACGTAGAGACATTTCGCAATTTGCACGCCTTGTTTTGTATAGAGTTATAGCATTGCATGTACGTGATTCAGGACACAATGGACTTTTCATTATTTCGGTATTTGTTTGGCATGTATCTGAAATTGAAACGCTTTTTCGTTTTCAATAAACTTGCTGCTTCAGCAAATCCAATATCGATTCGCCTGTGTAAACATTTTTGATTTTACGGTTCAATACCGATTAAGTTATGCTTATAGTAGAAATTTACGGGAACTGTAGTAAATCCTTAGGGAAAGTTCATTAAATTGAATATA